TGCAGCCTTGGAAAATGACATGTGTCACAGTAATTTATTTAGAAAACGTGAGGTTAATATTTGTTTATTAGTTGATTTGAATTTCGCGCCAAGTGAGTGCACATCATGGCTGCCCCCATGTAGGTGTCATTTGTCAATTCAGCATTAGCAGTCCATCTTAATTTATAAGTTCGTGGTTATTAGGTTCCTGGGTGGTTTTACACCCTCGCCGCGCTCTACAATCTTCTTTTGCTGTGAATTTTTGCTAGTACGTTTGTGAACTAGGGTTTGTTAAGCAGGGCTGATTGTAAATCACACTAGGCTAAAATCCCTAGAAAATTTACTAAGGGATTTGCTTTCTTTGGAAAGGGGGGGGGGGGATTGCGTCCGAGCTATGACCTGTGGTTGTTCAATGCGGTAAATATGGTAGTGATAGGGGAATTGAGACTATATCGTGGACCACAGCTATTGATTTGGCAACGGCAGTTTATTTCTATGAAAATGACACAACCGCTGGACAAATGACAATTAAAATCACAGTTTGCTCTTAAAACTAGTTGCGACACAGCATTGATCACGAAAATGAATTAGAAGCAAACGATGACAATGGAGCGTAAGTTAAAAATTATTGATGTCTATTATACCTAATTTTCATAAATATGTAAACTATATTATGTCATATTTAATTGTAGAGTCAATTAAATAAGATAATTGTTTATAAGAACTTTTACGAAAGTGTTCTCATAATTTAAAGCTTTAAGAATGGTCAAATGACGAAAAACCAAAAAAATTAACTCCTTGCGGTACAAAGATACCTACTTCAATTAAAAAAATGGTATTGAAAGAACGAGACAGGCGGAAGTGCATTTATTACCTCTCTGATCACACTTACTGATGGACCTATGTCTTAAATTAAATCAAGTTAATGGAAGACATAGTTGTAATGTTTTAATAGCGTTACACTAGCATCATAAAATACATTAGGTAGGCTATTATTACGTCAAAATTGGCAGCCGGCAATGTAAAGAGACTAAAAGGTACTATTGAAGGTATAGACATTAATCTTGGTAACAATTAAAAACTTTATTACCCAGCAAGAAGAATCGATTAATTAACCTAGTCGCATAAACCATGGGATATTATGAATTTGTAATATTGTCCCACTCGTTGGCGATTTTTACAGGTGGTATCCTAGGTACGCGTAATAATAAGTGCCTTATGCTGGCAATAAATCTGAAAACTAAGATACGACCGCTGAGATTCCTTTTGCGCCGCAAATATCTTCGGAAACCGGAAAAAAGACCAAAAGCACAAGTCGCACGTTGTAATTCAGGTTGTAAGTAAAAAAAATCGATCAAAACGCAGACTGCTGCGGTTGGAATGTGGAAATTCGTATTTCAACTGTTTTTATCGTAGGTCAGTTACGATTTATTTTTACGTCGACGTCTCGACGCTTCTTGTTCGGTCTTAACCTAGGTCGTTGCTTCGTTTTTAGAAAAGCTTCAAGAATAGATTTTAATTGTGTGTTTACACACAAACGGGCCATCTCGCGCGCGCGGACTTTCCTAATATAAAAATGTCAGCGCGTCCGGCTCGTATAATTGACATAATATATTGGCCCGTCCGTCTCTGACCATAAATGGCACTTTTCGAAAATCTCCAACCGCGTAAAAAAAATGCGATAGGTTAAATGTCGCTAAGAGACGAATGGATGCATTAAAAATTGAGCAACCTCATTAAAAATATTACAAGGAGAAATTATTAATTACAAATTTACAAATGGCCTATCGTTTTACACGATCGTAAATATTTTGCATGAATATCAAAACAAAATTATTGCTTCACTAGATTTAGGTGGGTGTTTCTTTCTCTTGCGCAAGTATTACGTTGCGCCCCTGATTTATTTCTGTATAGACTTCCGAATAGTAAATACAAAGTTAACGATCTGATTGATATGTATCAAAGAATGCAAAATGAGTTTTCTTGTGCCAAGACGTAGGTACATTTCCTTACAATTGATGCGCATCTAAATTCTCCACTTTTTTACGTTCTTTCGCGAGTATACCGGGCGGTTGCTTTATTATTAGAGAAATGCAAAATTAGATGATAGCGTTTGATAATGATTATAATTAATAAATCAAAAATAATTCTTTATGATATCAAAAAAATCTCCATTCGTATAGGATCTGTGATCTAGGACCATTCTGTTTCCAACAAAAGAAAAATACTTTCTTTATAATGAAAGATGATTTTTCTCCTATATTTAGTATGTACGTGTGCAAACGGACTTTCAGATCACGTGGTAGCTATTTGACTGGAAGGACCCAACTAGGTTCAGGAGTACCGCAAGGGTCAATCTAGGGTCCGCTACTTTTCACCTTGTTTGCAAACTATGTTGTTAGGGATATTGACAGCAAATGTTGCCTGTTTGCCGATGACACAATAGATCTATTTCTTCACCAAGCGATGTAATCAAATTTCAAGTGGACTTGAAGCTCTTGCATGACTGGTGTATACGTAATGGCATGTCTTTAAATGCTAAGAAATGTATCGCCATAAACTTTAGTAGAAAACATCAATCGTCCATACCGGTTTATACCCTGACGGTATTCCTATCGACAGAAAGTATGTAGTCAACGATTTCGGCGTTTACCTTGACAATAAGTTTTTGGCTATCAGCTTTATTTGCTGTATTCGCTACGTGATAATTGCTTAAGCTACCTTGGTCTAATTAACCTTGCTACACGGCGTAAATACTTGACCCTTTGTTTTATGTGCAAGCTCCTTAATAATGCAATCGAATGTACAGATTTACTTAATTTAATAAATTGTTGTGCGCCCGAATCATCTTAAGAGAATTCTTTTTAATATTTAACGGCGCAGTATGTACAAGGAGACTTTTTTGTGGGAGTAAACATTATTATTATTAAATTGGGCATCTGGAAATAATGTGTCGTATTATTGGAAAAGTTTATCTCCGGTCATTGCGATAAGATGTTTGTAATGCTGCGTAAAAGCAAACTACATAAGTTGTAGATACACAGTGTGCGCGGAAAGTAAAAACAAGTGCGATTTTAATAGACGACACGCAGTGTATTAAGAAAGGTCAAGCGAACGTTAAACGAAGCTTTTTGGTGGGCGTATTTTTAGTATATGGCAGTCAGCTGTAACCGAGTTGGTTTTTGAAAGACGCCAGTCTGATGCAATTAAAACCAACATTATATTAGAACTAACGTTCTATTTGCACCAAACTGTCATAAATTAATATTATATGCACTGAAAATATACATATATCGCTGAAAAAATTACGAACTAACCCCATACTACGCAATTCAGAAACCGAAGACTGAAAAAATGGCATCTTGTCATTTCTTATAAACATGTATGTGGCTTGAATAATAAATCTCGAAGAACTAGTCTGTTGCTGGTGCCCAGATAAATTATTTGTAGTATATCTACCTCTTGAAAATTAATGATCATTTACTCTAACAACATAAATACTTCATTTACACAGTACAAAACGAAGGACTCTGTACGTAGTGCCTTTTTTGAAAAGGTATGTTCAAAAAAAATGTGATTTAAATCCTAGCTAGATTATCTTCCCCTGGAAATTAAAACTTTACCCCTTAAGTACATACCCAGGAAACGGTACCTAATTGATTTTTTAGTTAACATCTTTAATGTAAAGTGCCGGAAAGTATGAAAGTTCTCATATTGTTCGTAAGTGTTAGGTCTTTTAAAATGCAATACCATTTTAGAAATTTTAACCTCTACTTTCAAAGTTCTTGCAAAATGGATCACTAAATTTCAATTCAAGTCAAAACGCATCGAGTATCTTCCACCTTGTTTTCAAAAACGCGCTAAAAACCTTTGCAGCCGACCGACCGACCGAACAGCTAAAGTGAACATATAAGCGCTACATTTTTTCAAAAACGCGCTAAAAAAAGTAAAAAATAAAATTTCTCTGGACCTAAAAAATGATGCGATTGCAAAGTTTAGTTACGCGGCAAGTGTTATAGTTTATGGCACCCTATGGAGAAATTGGCATCAAAACCGCCGGGGTACAAATTTCGGTACATGGTAAAATCTTTCCGGTTCGCGCGTGAAGATGGTCGTGATTTTTTGGAACCGATCAACCGGATACCTATTTTAAAAACTATAGGGTACAATAGAAATGAGATTTGGTACATTAAAAGTGCATTGGTTCATTTTTGAGCAGCCAATTATTCGCGGTGAACTTCAAAGGAGCGTAAATTTTGAATATGAATGCGTTTATTGTAAATTCCACTCCATTGCTAAATTTGGTACTCGTTGTGTCCTCTTTAGTGGTTGACGCATACATCTTTTGTATCTCTTTATTACAGGTAGTCATGTTACAGTTTCCTAGCTCTCCAAGAGGTCTTTATCTCAATGATTCCAAGATTTAGGCAAAGATCGCGCCACTATAGAAATGTAGCATAGCTTACTAGACTGTTAATGCAGATATTCCAGGTTGTGTCCGTGTGTATCATACCATAGATGTCTCATTAGAAAAATGCATACGTAAAAATAAGAGTTTAAAAATCTGTTCAAATCAAAAATCGACTCAGACAACGCTGAAACAAATAAACACTACGGCATATGCAACCACCATTGCTTGTGTGCAGTGCGTGTTGCATATCGAACTATTGCAAAAGAAAATATATTAGCTTATAAACTGAAATAGGTAACATTCTTTGACCCCAAATTGTCCTTTTAATCTAATCGCCCGATAACATTTACCGGCTACATTCAAAGTTTTTCATCATGCGTTATCTTGCACCCTTCCTTATTCTACTTAGCAATAGGCAGCATTCAATGCGCATCGTTTTGTTTCAAACTGTGCAAATCAAGTTATAAATGTATATACATTAAGCGGTTTTACTACATTTACAGAAGACCAAAACTCTGCTACTTGTGTGTTTTAAAACGATTCGATTTAAATGAAAATGAAAAACATTTTTAAAAACGCCATTGTCTAATTGAGCCCCGCCATTTTATCCCACAAGCGCCTTTTGTTGAGAAATTGTAGCTACGCTGCAAAGTGTAGTACCAATCGTTATTTTCTTATCAGTAATAGGACGATACGTATTGAAGTGTAATTTTGAAATTTTCCACAAGGTTTGACCATTGAAACCATTTAACGTTGCGGTAAGCAAGAATAGACGAATATTAAGAAAGTAATAGTTTTAACGATTTAATTTGTGTAAATGTCAAAACGATGAGGTTGGCGTAGCATTACACCTTCCTGTCTTTCTAGTTTTAATCACTGTACATGTGGTATTCACCGGTTTAATTATTGAAAAATCCCAGCGGAAACTTGTTTATAATTACGGACGAATCTACGAAGAAGTTTCAAAATGCATCAAGAAACTTTGCAACTAATTCAAATACTCGAAAAGACGGTTTCTCCAGGTGGGTAAACATTAGAAGAGATTGATTGCCATTACATCCCTTATCATTGCATTAATTTCAGATAAGGCAGAGTTAGAGCAGGCTTCTAATTTTCTCGAGCAGGCCGCGACGAACAACTTACCTCAGTTTATAAAGACGCTCTCTGATATCCTACGGCATGGCGGGAACAGTCCGGTGGCGCGAATGGCCGCCGGATTACAACTTAAAAATCACTTAACTTCAAAGGACCAAAGTATTAAAGTTTCGTATCAACAACGATGGTTGCTGTTTCAGGAGGACATACGGGACTATATCAAGAAAAACGTAAGTGTGGCCTTTGTACGAAGGGACGCTGTATTACAAAAAAAAATCTCGTATTGATTTTGTGACACCAACTCGATGTAAATATTAATTTCATGATACTGACACGAATTATTCATAAGGGGGTACTAAGTGAACACGGGTTCTAACAGATGAAAAGTTAATTTTTAGATTTAGCATCACCCGCACTGTACAGTAAGTATATAAGTAGGTGGCAATCACTCCTTTATAATTTTCAGAAATGGACACGAAGTGTAAATTAAAGACATAAGCGACGTTTACAGAAGACAATTTTATGCAAATCGTGTAATAGTGTTAATTATGCAGGTGTCAGTTGGTGATTTTCTTACTGTTTGTATATGATATACAGCCCGATTCAGAAATTGCGCAATGTCTTAAGAACAAAGATCTATGTTTTCTGTATTTGCCGGAATAATAACCACGATACTGCATTCATTATAAGAAGGTGGTAGATGGCGCTGTGCTTGAAGACAAGCACACACAGGAAAAATATAAAACCGCACCAAATTATTGTAAAGTAGAAATATCTAATACTGCAAACAGAAATAAATCTTTGACATTAACAGCTAATGACACTTCAAGAGTTTAGTTGACAATCAAAACTAACAGCTTGCAAAATTCGCCACTCGTTTTATGTTTCAGCGTAATACTGACTCGTGTTTTAACCAATCACAGTGAAGGTCACCCTGTGCTTTTTACCGCAGCCTTCTTAAAATGAATACAGATTTGGAATACCTTTTTTTACCTTGAAGGTAGATATGCGAACGGTCTTCAAATTTGTGTATTTTCTGATATGTTTTGTCATTTTTACTAAAGTTCGTCTGCACATGCCGAATTTGAGTTTTTAGAGTATGCGCAAGGTCTCTTACAAATGAGCTCTAGATGTATATACAGGGTGTATTGGGCACTTTTAGGGAGTGACCTGTACTTGCGAAGCTCAACTTCAAGAGAAAGGAAATAGCAAATACCACATTTTGTCAGGCTATAAGGGATTTTTAAAAGTGATGCGCGGTGACCATTGTGTTACACAGAAAAGACCTACATAAACTCGCTCAATGTTCAGTTTTGAAGATTTACTTGGCGCGATATCATCTCCTCATGTAACACATCCTCACGGTACAGGGGAGCTAGATTTCATAAGTTTTTTAAATATTGAATCACGATTTTCTCCATTTTTGTCTATATCAAATTATTAACTATGTGTGTTGTACTACAAATTGATTGCTCATTTCAAAGATTTTAAAAAGAACATAGATATTGCATTTGAAAAACAAAAGTTACCCTCAATTACGCCCAAACTGGAAGTTTCAATATTCGATGGGATAGATTGTAATGTCACACACAAAATTATATTTGGCAATTTTTTCGTATCTCGTCAATGAGTAGGTATTGGGGTGACCCTCTTATCTCGAACACACTGTATATGGTACTTAAATGACAAATAAATTTCAGAAATAACAAACATAAAACAAAATAAACATACAGTGCTATTTATTAAGGAGTAGACATTGTTTTTGCGTATGTCTACTTTTAAAAGACTGAATCTCTTCTGAAGGGCGCCTAATTTTATTCATCCATATCAACTTCTTAAAACAAATAAAGATCTGGCTGTCATATTAATCAGTTTGAAAATTGTTGCTTTGGCTTAACAGAAAATAAATCTAAGCTTCTTAAACTGTCACTAGCACTATACCAATTGACATTTGTTTTAAGAAGTTATTTTGGATGCATTAAATTAGACGCCCTTCAGAAGAGATTTTGTTTTTGAAAGTTTGACAGGGAAAATAAAATAGCACTGTATAACAAAATAAAATAGATTACAAAATTAAGTTGAAATACATATAGGGTCAATTGCCCCTCTCGTGGGGTCCGTAAGGGGGAGAAATTTTGGTGTAGTCGATTTTTGGTAAAAAAGAAAGGTTATACACTGCTTTTTTTGGCCCGAAAACAAAAATTGTCTCAGATCGACCCCGAAACAAAAATTTCTTATAGAATGTGACCTGTAGAATCCATAATTTCAAACAGTTCCAAGATTGGGCTACTAGTTCAAAAGTTACAGCCCTTTGAATTTTCTTTCGAAATTGGTTGGTAGTCTATAACTTTTGATCGAGCAGTCTAATCGAAAAAGTACGAATTGTTTTGGATTCTACGCCCTAAAATTAATAAGAAAAAGTCTTTTCCCGAGAAATTTTGGTGTAGTCGATTTTTGGTATAAATGAAAGGTTATAACACTGCTTTTTTTTGGCCCGAAAAAAAATTGTCTCAGATCGGCCCCGAAAAAAATTTTCTTATAGAATGTGGCCTGTAGAATCCATAATTTCAAACAGTTCCAAGATTGAGCTACTAGTTCAAAAGTTACAGCCCTTTGAATGTTCTTTCGAAATTGGTTTCTAGTCTATAACTTTTGATTGAGAAGTCTAATCGAAAAAGTGGATTCTACGCCTCAAAATTAATAGGAAAAAGTGTTTTCCCTAGAAATTTTGATGTAGTCGATTTTTGGAAAAAAGTTGGGTTCACACAGGTGAGTTTTTCTCTTAAATTTGATCACTGAACCATCATGCCCCACAGCCACGACAAGGCCAGACATTGAGGGGGTCTTGAATGTGGAACAACTGAAATGAATAATTGAGAAATTAGAATTCAGTGAATTGCTTTGTTTAAACAAATTCATTTCATGTTAAAAGTTCAAAAATATCAATAAATCAAACAAGGACAGTATCTGCCAATTGTCAAAAAGAACTTAATTCCTAGTCACATTGAAATTTAGAGCAATGACCAAGCAACCACTGTGCATACCTGAAACAACTACTAACAATATGATCAACCCTTCAACTACACAATACTGTAACTTTCAACATAATTGACACGAGTGCACAAGATTTCAGAAAACAACAGTAAATCATCCCCTGAAACTGATATTTTGTGTAACCAAAAATGCTTGATTGAAAAGTATCATATATAGCCCGCCATTTATTATCGTTCTGTTTCGAATTCCATATCTTTGTTATACTTGTTGATAAAAAAAATGTGTGTTATTATTTGACAATGACGTCACGGCGCTAAAAACTCATAATTTCCATGATGAGAAGCAATAAGGAAAAACAAAAGTGTTTGTTGTTTGGAAATGTTTGCATGTGTTTTGAATAAAATAACCATAAATATGAATTGTAATTATTTATTGATAATAATTATTAATATTTATTTTGAGTTAGTGTCACAGAGCTAATATTTTTTGGCACGGGATAATTTTTTGAATATAATGTTGCTTGTTCTGTAAAAGCGTTTTCTAGATTGTGGAAGCCTTGGGCACCGAGACGAGTCGACCATCATCGGCCGCACAATGTGTCGCCTACGTTGCCGTAGCCGAACTACCTCAAGGTCGATGGCCCAGTTTAATCAACACCCTAGTAAACAACGTAGTACAAACAAATTCGACGGAGATGCAAAAGGAAGCCACCCTCGAGGCGATCGGGTACATCTGTCAGGAAATCGATTCGGAAGTCTTAGTCACACAGTCGAATGCCATTTTAACCGCCATCATTCACGGAATGAGAAGCACGGAGCCGAGCAATCACGTTCGCTTGGCCGCCACCCAAGCTTTGCTAAACTCTCTCGAATTCACGCGTGCAAATTTTGATAAGGAGACTGAGCGTAATTTTATTATGGAAGTCGTCTGCGAAGCTACGCAATCTCAAGACTCTCAAATAAAAGTCGCAGCTTTGCAGTGTTTAGTCAAAATTTTATCACTTTATTATCAGTATATGGAGCCGTACATGGCGCAGGCGCTGTTCCCTATCACTTTGGAGGCGATGAAGTCGGATAACGATGCCGTGGCACTTCAGGGTATCGAATTTTGGTCTAACGTCAGCGACGAGGAGGTAGACTTGGCAATTGAAGACTCCGAGGCGACTGAAGCGGGGCGACCACCTGCTCGTGTCTCGCGCCACTATGCCAAAGGCGCCTTGCACTTTATCGTTCCGGTTCTAATGCAGAAACTTACGAAGCAGGAGGAATTGGACGACGACGACGATTGGAATCCGTGCAAAGCGGCCGGTGTTTGCTTAATGCTCTTGGCGACGTGTTGCGAGGACGAGATCGTACCCCACGTGCTTCCCTTCATTAAAGACAACATCAAATCTGAGGATTGGAGATATAGGGACGCCTCCCTGATGGCGTTCGGTTCGATTTTGGGAGGGCTCGATAATTCGGCTCTTAAACCGTTGGTCGAGCAGGCGATGCCCACCCTAATCGAATTAATGTACGACAACAGTGTTATAGTTCGAGACACGGCCGCTTGGACCTTCGGGCGTATCTGCGAGATCATTCCAGAAGTCGCGATTAACGAGACATACCTGAAACCGCTGCTCGAGAGCTTGGTGACCGGTTTAAAAGCCGAACCGCGTGTCGCTGCAAATGTCTGTTGGGCCTTTACCGGGCTGGTCGAGGCAGCGTACGAAGCGGCTGAGGTTAACGAAGAAACCGGCCAACCGGATACCTACTGTCTCTCGCAGTTCTTTGAGTTTATAATACAACGGCTATTGGAGACTACGGATAGGCCGGATGGTGCACAAGCGAATCTGCGACCGGCCGCCTACGAGGCTTTGATGGAAATGGTTAAGAACTCGCCGAAAGATTGCTACGTCACCGTACAGAAGACTACGATGGTCATTCTCGAACGTCTTCAGCAGGTTTTGCAAATGGAGTCGCACATTGCCAGTCACAGCGATCGTTCCCAGTACAATGACCTTCAGTCCCTGCTTTGCGGCACTTTACAGTCGGTGCTTAGAAAGGTAATGCTTAAACATTTCTTTATACAGGGTGTTTCGAAATTCGCGTTCACAGACCATGGGATTGTGTTATACGACAAAAACTGAACAAAAAGTTCTTTGACCAGTTTTCCATCAGACTGCTATTTTTCGAGCTACCATGGTTTTGAAAATCTCCGCCCCCCCCCTCCCCTACGCTGCGCCACTGGTTAAACTTAACACATTTTTAAAAACAAAAGAAGGTTCAAAACAAACTACAATTATGACGAGTACATAATTGCAACGTCGAAAAAAAAAGTGCCGGTCTGATCAAAAACTGGTAAAGGACTTTTGATTCAGTTTTCGGTGTATAACACCATCCCACAGTCCGTGTGCGCGAATTTCGAAACGCCCTGTATTCAAACCAGGTATGTAGGAAAAATCTGAGAATTCAAAGAAAATAAGCTCATAATTTTGAGAAAAGATATACCTTATACAATACACAAAAATAATAATGACATAAACACAGTGTCGGACTGGACCCCAAAAAGTATAGGGACAAAAAGCCCACACCCTACCAATGTATACAGGGTGGGCCATTGTTAGTGTGTGGGTGGAAGATTGTGGGTTGATTAACGCACATAATTAAAATTTATTGTCGGGGAATGTTGAAGGACGCTTAAGGCTTATATTTTTAACGAAATTGCAATTGTTATACAGGATGATTTATATCAAAGTTTCATTTTTTTAATGGTACACCCTGTATATTATTTTAGGTTATTACATATTTCGATTCCTTTGGTCAATTTTAGTGTGACTTTATGATGTAAAATGAGGCGAATAGGTCAAGTGACGTCACAGGCTGACCGAAATTGTTTTTCCAAGGCCAACTTTAGTCATGTAACTTTTTCATTTGCGGATGTATTTTAATGATTCTTTCGCATTTTTGTTTGTTAGCACACTAAAAAAATGAATTTAAATTCGGCAGGTAACACCGGAAGACGCTCCGAAAATCTCGGACGCCATCATGACAGCATTACTCAGCATGTTTAGTTCCAATTCGTGTAAAAACGGAGGCGTGCAAGAAGACGCTCTAATGGCGGTCTCGACGCTCGTCGAGGTTCTCGGCGAGAACTTCCTGAAGTACATGGACGCCTTCAAACAGTTCCTTTACATTGGCCTGCGAAACCATCAGGAGTACCAGGTGTGCGCGACCGCCGTCGGCCTGACCGGAGACATCTTTAGGGCACTCAAACTGAAAACTCTTCCGTATTGCGACGAAATCATGATGATTCTTCTCGAGAATTTGAGCGACAACTCTGTCCATCGGACTGTCAAACCGCAAATCTTGTCTGTCTTCGGCGATATCGTATTGAGCATCGGTTTGGAATTTAAGAAGTATCTCGAGGTCGTACTGGTCACGCTGGCCCAAGCCTCCCAGGCGCAGGTGGATCGAACTGATTTCGACATGATCGATTACTTGAACGACCTGCGCGAGGGCGTCCTCGACGCTTACACCGGTATCATTCAAGGTCTGAAAGGCGACGGACCGACGCCGCATCCCGACGTTATGCTGCTCGAACCGCACGTACCGTTCATAGTTCGCTTTATAATCGTCGTCGCTCAGGATAACGAACATTCGGACGCGAGCGTCGCAGTTGCGGCCGGCCTCGTCGGCGATCTGTGCTTGGCGTTCGGCGCGGCGATGCTCGCACTCTTAGATCTGGATTCCATCAATGACATGCTGACGCAGGGACGTCGAAGTCGGATCAGTCGTACTAAAACTCTCGCAACTTGGGCCACCAAGGAGTTGCGCAAGCTGAAAGCTAATATTACTGCACCCGCAGCTAGCTGGTGAGTATGAATATTTTCGCCATTTTTCGTGAAGAATATACAGGGTGATTCAGACCACCCGTCCATCTGCTCTATAATTCAGGGGCTTAAACATGTTTAACAAATAACCCAGAAATCTGGGATTGTTGTTCTCTATCAAAGGACTGAATCCCACTAATCCTCACTTGTTTGGGGGGGGGGGGGGCATTTTGTAATTTCAAATGGGGGCCCACATTTTTTTAATCCATATCTCGATTGTACAGGGTGAGTCAACGATTGCGCGGAGTAACTTAATGCCTTGAAGATAAGATTTTTTGATAGAGTGCTTTTGTATTATAATATGGTTGAATATTCTCCACATTTTAAAAATATTTGGACTTATACAGGGTGCGCTCACAAAGTAGGGCGCCAAAATGGTACATTTTTTTAAATAGAACCCTAGCTGGTGAGTATGAATATTTTCGCCATTTTTCGTGAAGAATATACAGGGTGATTCAGATCACCCGTCCATCTGCTTTATAATTCAGGGACTTAAAAATGTTTAACAAATACCCCAGGAATCTGGGATTGTTGTTCTCTATCAAAGGACTGAATCCCACCAATCCTCACTTCTTGGGGGGGGGGGGGGCAATTTTGTAATTTCAAATGGGGGCCCACATTTTTTAATCCATATCTCGATTGTACAGGGCGACTCAACGATTGCGCGGAGTAACTTAATGCCTTGAAGATAAGATTTTTCGATAGAGTGCTTATGATATGGTTGAATATTCTCCACATTTTAAAAATATTTGGAATTATACAGGGTGCGCCCACAAAGTAGGGCGCCAAAATGGTACATTTTTTTAAATAGAACCCCTTGTATTTGAATGCATTTTTGAATTCTACGTGTAATTGTGCGTCTTTTTTTATTATATGGTTAATATCGGAAAAACTAGTAGCAAAACTAGGGCATTTGCAAGCGTCAGTATATTGTCAAAATTATTACTTAAATTTTGTTTCCAGGTTTTATATCTTTTATCCTGGGTAAAGTGAAAGTCAAATAAATACATCTACTATGAAACAATAAAAAAATAACTTACAGGATGTTTTTTTTTGGTAGGTCCAAAGTTGCAAAACTTCATATTAAAAATCTCACTTTTTTTAAATGGAACACCCTATATATTTTTCTGTCGTCTTTTAGCTCTTCCAAAAACCTTCAACTTTTGATAATAATGTCCTATACCTATCTCTGATATTTTTCAAAATATCTTGGTTTTCCTGGTTTTTATATTCTAATCTTAAATAAGTTATATGTAACTTCCATGATAGTCTAGGCCCCAGAGGGTTTGAACTTGCAAATTTCTGAGACAAAGAACCAAGATGCAGGGATTATGTTTTTTGGGTCGCTGAATCCGAATTTGACTTTTGCACAAAAATCCGGATGACGCGGGAGCCGCCATCTTGGAAAAATGGCGGAAATTCGGCGGTTTTTCCACAAAATGCGAAATAACTCATTTAATATCGGATTTTTGGCGTTTTTTTTTGCGCGCGAAATATTGAAAATTGCGAAAACTTCATTTTTGGGCCGAATTTCGTCGCACTGTAGTAGCGTTAGTTTTTGTCCGATTTTCATCAACAAGGGCTCATCTCAAAGGAAACTTTATGTACTTTCATTTGTTACTGAAGTTTTTTCGCCACAAAACTGATACCAAATGAGTTATTTCGGGTTTTGTGGAAAAACCGCCGATTTTCCGCCATTTTTCCAAGATGGCGGCTCCCGCGTCATGTGGATTTTTGTGCAATGTCAAATTCGGATTCAGCGACCCAAAAAACATAAACCCTGCATCTTGGTTCTTTGTCTCAGAAATTTGCAAGCTGGACCCCTGTATTGAGCTCTAGGGTGTGGACTATAATAACGAGGTGGCCATGCAAAAAAAAAGGCAATTTTTATCTGCCTCGTCCAAAGCTAAAATTCGAGACTCGCCGTTAGGACCTCTGTAATGGTGGGAGATACAGTGTAGGTTAAATAAGGGCAAAGTTCCCTTTTTTTGTGACTAAAAAATTGCATGTGATACTGGTACTCAAAAGTTTAGCACAAGTCAAAAACCGTCGCAAACTCACTTATTAACAAGCGAACCAGCTGTTTCATGATTTTGGACTTATGTCCGTCTGTTCATCTGCGTACAGGGTGGTCTAAATTGCACACTTTCTTATGGAAAAACAATGGGCCTAGGTTTTCTGGAGCCAAAATTTCTATCTCTAACCGGTTTGACCACTAGTGGGCGAATTTAGTCAATTTCTTTAATACCCCATGACTTATTTATTATTAAAACTAATTGAATTTTGCAAAATCTTTCTTAGAGCACTTTTTCATGTAGAATCCATCGCGATATCTGGTGTTTATACAGGGTGTTTGGTTTTTCTTGACACTAAATTACATTTTTACATGTGGACCACCCTATAAATTTTTGAGTTTTTGAAAAGAGCGTAAAATTTCCTAAATTTTGATGTATCACTTGTTACATTTATATTGAATATTTTTACAATATTGCATTTTATACCTTAAAATATTTAGATCTACGTTTCCATGGCGAACAAAAGATGGCGAGATTGTTTAAAATAACAATGCCGTTATCTGTATTATTATTAACAAGACAAAAAACAGAGTGGATGATTTTGGATGTTCTGTCATCTAACTTGTTAAATGTTAATCATGGGGACGTTCTGTCCGTCCATCTGTGTACATGATAACTCGCAAACGTTTTCCAGTTCTGTGTTTGTCGCTTGTTTTCTATATTGGTTTGAAGCAGTTTATTATTTTCAAAATTTGTTTTCGCGTTCCGGCTCTACCTTGACCGTGACAACGAAACCACGCGTCTTTTTGCTTTCATTGGCCTGTCGGTCGCTTAGACAAAATGGCGGGCGGGCTCTTTTACTGTAGGAATCTATGACAGAATTTATTTCCCAAATGTAGGTAAGATCACCTACAAAAATCATGATAATAGAAAGCTTACTGCCACTTAGGCAACCAAGCATACACTATCTAAAATGGCAACGTTGAAGTGTACGTTTTACGGCGGAGATCCGTGTGGGATGGGGCGCACGGCGTTGCACACTGTCGTCTTTGCTTCTGCGTTTCTTCGTCGCTGCCCTAATATAAAAACGGTTCGTTGCCTAAGTGGCAGTAAGCTTCCGATTATCATTACTTTAGTCAGTGATCGTAAAAAATGTTTCATATCCGATACAAATCCACTAATCCGGTGCAGGATTACCGTGTGCCTTAATTCAGTACTGTAGTGGTTAGTTAGGTAGGCTTTAAACGAAATAAATTTTTTTCTTCAACAAGGAACAGATGCCACATATTAACTAGATTTTTGGATGTACCGTTTATTCCCAATAAACCTAAAAATATTTTGTTGGCAACATCAGGTTTTATTGCCATTAGTTTGCTATAATTAAACGATGAGAGTAAAATTGAAAATGAACTAAAGCTGATTATTTGTTTCAGATTTAATTTGATCTATAGCGATAACCATATGAAGGTGTGGTCACCAGTATCTGTTCTGGAAAGGCATTACATATATTAAAAAAATTACCTTTTTAGATTTCTCTCTGGTTAGTAATTAAAATAGTCATTAGTTCTTAATTAACCAATTTAAGTTTGGAACTTAATCGATTAATTAACGACTGGATGACGTAAACGACATGGTACCGTCCCTCCTTTTTCGGTTATGGGGTGCGGAATGCGTGCGTATGAACTTCTTTAGGACCAAGGACCAATATGAATGTGTACTGAGTGCTACAGTGACGTTAGACAGAACGCTTGTGTACGTAAGTAAATGCCGCCTGCATGGTGAAAGACGTATATCTCAAGACTGAAGAAGAAAAAGTGAAGTTATGAAAATTTTTCTCTCCTCTCGTTTTTTTATTCGCGAAATTTTTTTGTCTGTTATATTTGTAACGGTTTGTAATTAAACATTATTCACATGTCACATATCGCTCTTTACAAGTAGTTGTACTTTCGTTTTAAAAAAAATTTATATTTTATACATACTCTAAGATTACGGATGACCTAACTCGGTCGCCGCGTTTCTCGAAGTGTCCGAGTTGGGTCGGCGACTTTTTTGCATTAGGTAGTGTTCATACTCAGGAAGTTTTGGAATAATATACTTTTGTGAATGGTATTTTTTTGAGAGTTTTTGTGAGGCCGTGTGTGCCTTGCGTGGGTGGATTAATTAAATTAACCTGGTCGTTCTAAATATTAACAATAATGACGACTTTGTTAAGTAGTACGTTAGTTGTATAATAACGAAGCTATCTGTGATTTGGGAAGGCTTTAGTGGTTGCCAAAAATGTTTTTTTAACAATTCCAATTCCAGAGAAAAAAAAAACAAAAAGCCTTCTCAATGTTATAATAATTATAATCACGCAATTATAATTATTAAATTCCTGTATGTGTGATATTGTCTTCGCAAATGACACGAGAGTAAACTCGGCGTATTTCAGTTCAATGTCGGCGTTCGTTTTGTGTCATTTGCGTTTGAATTTTAGGCTGTATGAAACTTTGTATTAGTATGCGAGGCTGTGTGACTGTTATTTTTATGTAAGCGCTCTTCGAAGAATTCCCACTTTTTTATATTCGCCGTTTGTGGCACGAGTGCGCTTTATTTGTTATTCCGTAATTTCTAATAAACCAAAGTGCTGAGAACTGATGAAACAAATAAAGTGCTCCTCATCCTTAAAAGTAATAGAATGTAAGGACAATCTGATTTAGAGCCTGAGTAGTAGATAATTTTGAATGTTTTGTTTGCTAGTTTATGAATCAATGTGTGCCATGATAGGTTGTCTGTTCAAAAATCACCCCTAAGAGCCGATGTTTGACAATCTTACTAGTGTGGTAAGACTGAATAATGTTTTAGCATAAGTTGCCAATAGTTGAAACCAATTGCGTGTACCCAAAACTGTACGTAGCTCAAATATGTGCTGTGTGAAAGTATTCCTTAATGTGCGTTCAACGGTGCATAAATATTCCAATAATATTGTTAAACATCGGTCATGTAATTCGTTTTTGTTTGAATATTGTTACCATGTCTGGTTGCCGACAACACCTTTAACATTTTTCCAAATTAAAAAAAAAAGATGTAACTTAATTTTTTGCTCTTTTATTTTTCCACCTAAAATTAGGACTTTTTTTCTGTAGTAAAATAATAATAAATGAAATAATGTAATTGTTGAACTTGATCGACCTCCCTAATCCATTTAGTACACTTTTGCTGCTTCTTTCAATTAAGACGGTATTAATAATAATGGACGACACTGAACAGAATGTAATTTGTTATCATTGTAAAATTTCTCTTTAACGTTGTGTTTCAGAATCAAATTGATTTAGACGATATTCTGCCACAGGTCGGAGAATTTGGAAGGTATCAAAAGTTGATGCTGTGGCTGGTTTGTTTACCTGCGTGTATTCCCTGCGGTTTTTGCGCGTTTAATCAGTTGTTTATGGTCGATGTCCCGGATCATTGGTGTCGGATCGACGAACTGCAAAATTTCAGCCGGTATGAACGACGAAAACTTGGCATACCGTACGGTGACGGCACGTACAGCAGATGCCAACGGTATGCTGTGAATTGGACACGGGTTCTGGATGAGGATGTGACAAATGCAAATGAGTCTTGGCCGATCGAAGCGTGTAAAGACGGATGGGAATATGATTTATCCGTGGTATCTTCGAGCATAGTCATTGATGTATGTACCAAATCTAGTGGCCTTTTGTAATAACCGAATTTCAGTTCGATTTGGTTTGTGAACGAGACATTTACCCCACACTCGGTTTGGTAGCTTTGAATATCGGCGGACCTATCGGGGTTTATGGGTTTGGTATTTTAAACGATAAGATTGGCCGTAAGAAGTCTTTTTTTGCGTGTTTGTTTACACTTCTTGCCGGTAGTATTATGACCGCTTGCTCGCCACAATTTTGGGTTTGGGCTGTTAGTCGTATAATTGTAGGACTGACTGTGCCGGCAATTTACCAGATCCCTTTCATTATATGTAAGTGCCTTAATTGAAATTAACGTTGAAGTGGTGCAGCCAAGGAATATCTTATTTAAAAAGGGACAAACTAGTTACCCAAATTCCTATTAGATTTGCATAATTTGGCTCCTACAACCACAGAGGTGACTGCTTGGTCAGATCATTCGCAAGTTTTCACCATTAGCACAGATCTACACATACAGAGATTGCTAACCTTATGCATTTTCTGTGAAACAAATTTAGGTATACTTAAAAGCGCCCTCTATTGCGGAGCAGTATAAACATGTATTGTTTAAAACTGTAATATGACGCTTATGGATTTATGCATTAGATGTCGCTGCAAAAAATTTAAAGCTAAAGTCACTAGATATAAAAATTACCGCAATCATCCGCCATTTTTGGGCAAATTTGCTGGCAACTTAAAAAAATTGACAAATAAAATCTGAATAGCTGTCATTTTTATAACCTAACTTCATAGTACTGTCATGTTTTATAAAAATATATACAGATATCTCCAAACAGGTGGAACAATCCCTAACATTAAAGTTACTAGAATCTGGTAACTTCCGCCATTTTTGGGCAAAAATCATGCGTTCTCTCTCTAACACACGAGCCCAATGGATTGCGGTACTTTCTATATTTAGTGACTTTATTTAAAGCTACCAATCTAGGGACTTTATTTAAAGCGGTAAAGTGTGCATATAATCCAGTTTAATTGTATTTATACCAGGAAAGTTGTGGGGTAGTTTTGATTTCTTTGATTCTATATGTATTTTGGGGTGCTGAATCCGAATCTGAGGTTTGCTAACAAAATTTCATGACGCAACATTGAAAAAAATACAAAAAAAGTTGAAAAAGATATTTTTTTAGCAGTTTTGTGCTTACAACTCGAAAACTATCAACTTTTCGAAAATAACCTCCCTATCTTATATCTTATCGGCGTGGTAAAGAGTGTAACGTTAATGATGGCAGAGATATACATAGTTTTTAAGTATGCCTTTGTGGTTAGCAATCTGTCAAGACCTTTAAAGCCGCAAATAGTTTCCGCCAACTTCAAAAAACCTTCACGATTCTTTAAGAACCTGCCCTATGTTCGTGTGTATCTCTGTGACCACAGGGACCCGCTTTTAATAACTCCCTTACGACGAATGAGTAGCTCCAGTGTTAAATTAAACAATTATGGCTCAACGTACCTCCTATCATATCATACCACTGTAATAATACGAATATTAAGGAATTCGAATTGTGCAAACTTTAGCGCTTTAATTTTGTTTCAGCGACATCTAACGCATAAATCCATAAGCGTCATATTACAGTTTTAAACGATACATGTTTATACTGCTCCGCAATAGAGGGCGCTTTTAAGTATACCTAAATTTGTTTCCCAAAAAATGCATAAGGTTAGCAATCTGTGTATGTGTAGATCTGTGCCATTAGGAACCAAATATCCTAGGGTAACCTTTAATAGCATCTTTTGCAAAATTGGGAAAAGCATACCCCAAATTGTAGGAAAATCTGCTTGTCCATGTACAATTTTCTTTAGAATTTTATTTAGGCCTATAAAGATGCAAAAACTCTTCCATGTCTCCTAATATCCTTATAAGCCTAATGCCCGTTTGCACTGACAAAGCTTAGTTTAAGGTTAGGTTCATGTCCATGGAAACCATTGTCGGAATAAGCGTTGCTATGGAGTTTAAGTTACCATTAAGCTAAGCTCCCCTTAAATTTGTCGGTGCAAACAGCCATATAGGCCTCCCATTGGGAGGCCTTATTAAACAGTTTGCCCAACTGAATTTTCTGCTTTTCGAGTGCCCTGCACCATCAGGAATGGTTATGGCAAAAATAATAATCTTTATGACTACAATGTTTGGTAAGAAGATCTACTTTGTCCTGTAAGTCGACAGAACCTGAGAGGTGTCCATTGCCCTCTTAAGTTTTTCTCCAATGAGATGTTTGTAAAGGGGAATATCCATTACCTTCACCTTGGGGTTGCGCAGCGACGTCGGAAGTATGGGTCAGAGGGGGGAGTCGCCCCCTCATAGAATGGATAAATAAATCACTCAAAAGCGACTAACACTCATGTTCTTCTACTGCATGTGCATGCAAAAAGTATAGAAGTAGAGGATATATTGAAATAATTTGTCAGCAAAACTGCGGAAATTCGGAAAATTTTTGGAAATATTTAACTTTTTACTTTCTAGCTACATACAAAGTATGTTAAAGGAAAGTATTGTAATCGTGATAAATTTTTGATATGCGGATATTGCGTTTTCTGGACGTTTTGAAGCACACGGATCCCAAAAAAGTTATTTTTAGCTTGACGTCTGTGTGTATGTGGTTCGTTTTTTGTGAACACGATAACTAAAAAACCCCTGAACCAATTTGGGGTGCATATAGAGTGTATTTTGGTTTTAATCCATAACCATCTTCATGGTTGTTGGTGTCAAAAGTTTAAGAGCCATAAGGGCTGGAAAAAATTTTTTCGCATACACTGGCCAAAATGACTTAAAAAACTACAAAAAAAGTTCATTATAATTTTTTTGTGAGTTCCTTTGTTTTTGAGAAGTTTTGAATTGAAAAGTTAAACTATTTATTTTATTTTTCTAAATTTTCATATTTCTCTAAAAGTAGATAAGCATCAGAATTAAAAATGTTAATTACAAAAAAGGTATCTTAACGAGATCTATAAAAAGGCTCCTACACTTTTTTGCGTCGGGTTCAAAATAAAGGCGCTAGAAGGCATTTTCTAAATGTTATACTATGACCAAAGATAATTGCAATGCCTATTAAAAGTAGACGGAAAGTCAAGTCAGGAGTTTACCTGACAACTAGTTATACTTGCTTTTCTTGACAATGCTCAATAGTGCAATAAATAGGAACAACATTTTTGTAATTCCTATTTTCCAGTTCATTATTTTTTAAATAAATATTAATGATCTATGGATATGGTTGTCTCAATCGAGTCAAGTATCTCTGAGCTACTCAGTTGCATATCACTAGACATCCTCAAATACTTTTTTCAAAATTCTTGCAAAAATACAGTTAATAATAATATATTTATTGGTGGTGTTGCATGTTATTCCACATGTCATAAGATAGAAAAACAAATATAGCTCATACTACTTTGGTAAAATTAAACTTGCAGAAGTCGCTGATTTTTGCTCCCCCCCCCCCCCACCATTATTCACTTCCGACGTCGCTGAGATTGCAATAACCCTTTTGGACGGCTCCTTTGGAGTTAATTTCTAATGAAATTACTCCATGATCATCATAGTGACTTTCCAGTTCGTTATGTGGTCAGAGATACTCGATGATGCCAGACATCGCACTGTCTGGCTTCGGGAACGTGGGTTCGTGTCCTCACTGTAGATTAGAACTTGTCAGATATTCAAGTAATGCTAGGGTTGACATTAGTACCCCCCCATGTCCCAGAAAGCACAAGATTGTTTTGTCCAAATTTGGTCCACATGTCAACAAATTGGATGTCATACTTCCGGCCAATAATGGACGTCATATTTGGGTCTATTGATGGACGTCATATTTGCGTCCACTGACATATACGAGGGGGATATTCAAAGTAGGCATTTGCGCTCGTATTTGCAAACGTCATAACTGTCACTTTGTCGCTTATTAGAAAAAACGCTCGATATGCATTCAGAGTTCATTTCAAGTGATTTGAGTGATTTATCCTCGATTGTAGAAAAAAGTGTGTAATTCGACAAATTGATTGTCGATTTCATTTCAATTGTACTTACATCTTTCTTTGTCGCTTGGCCATTAAAACGAAGTTCACGATGAAGTGAGGCCCCATGTCCAATGTATCATTTGTGGACATTTATTAAATCAAAGACATGGTTTCGTCTAATATTGCGTTAAACGCTAAGAAAGATTTATTATTGAAAAAAATATGGGCGTACATACTTATACATGGACGACCATACGATGTCCCATATTTACGTACGTAGGACGTCATTTTTTCTCCAAGGACGAATGTATACAAATAGTGGACCATATATGTACAGTGCTATTTGATGAGGTGTTTATTATTTTGCTCACAGTATTCTATCAGTCTTGCCATCTAATTACTAGGAGGTAGGTTGACAGAATCTCCTGGGAGATATACTGATGTCATTACTCTTGAGCTTTACCCTGTACCTATGTCATAGCTTAACTGTATAGTCGCGATATCACTGCCACACCTAAGAACTTTAAGGTATCTAGGAACGTCATGCATGTTCTAGGTTTTTCTATATTTCCCTATATGTTGTTGTGGTCACCTGACCTCAGGTTCGGCAGGGTTACTGACTGATCTTTAGATACCCCATAACTGAACCTGCCCCTGCCCTCTGACAACAGCTGCCTACCTTTTCCCAATAATTGTGCACCTCCAAGCGCCGCGTGATCGCCACCAAGTCGTCAGGTTCCTCTGGGACCCAGATGGCAACCTTGCCGAGGATAGGAAGACAGTCTATTCCTGCATCACCTTTAGGTGTGCACCCTCCCACAATTGTAGAAGGTCTCGCAAGATCTTAAGGCCGCTATATACGCGTTGAGTCATCCGACCCCTACCTATTTTTCTCTCTGAAAACCCGTCTGACCGGAGTTACCTAGCTCATGGAAACGGTTGGGTCACGGGAGGTAGATGGTTTGGAGGAGACTGTTGGCGCAGTTTGACTCGTTTGGGTCAGCCTGGCCTTCTTTCTCCTCTTCTGCTCAGCGCCGGAGATGCGCTTGGATGGTTTGGATTGTTGTTGAGGCTTATGGTGACCTGTAACATAGGTTGAAGGGTATACTGGGTAATTTCATGATTAGGTATACAGATATTCTTTGGTGCATCCTCTGCCATTTCCAATTACTCCCTGTATAATTTATCTAATTAATTTTTAGCCTTGGAACTGGTCGGTCCGAATTACCGATCATTTGTAACCGTAACGACATGCACATTTTACACTTTTGGTCTGATGGCACTTGCAGGTATCGCCTATCTAGTCCCCAATTGGGAACATCTAACTCTAGTGACCTCGCTTCCATTCTTATTGTACGTGATCTACTGGTACTTTCTGCCCGAAAGTCCGCGATGGTTATTGGCGAGAGGAAGATTTGACGAGGCGCTGAAAATACTCGAGGTACTCGCGAGAGTTAACCGTTGCGAGCTGCCGGCCAGTTTTCGACAACTGCTCAAACAACGGATGATGTTGACCAGATCGAGGAGCCAGGACTCCGCCAACAGTAAATGCCCCGACATCTTTGTCTTATGTCGCACTCCTAATATGCGCCTGAAAACGATTTTAATCACGCTGAACTGGTTCGCGAACACAACCGTTTACGTCGGGTTAAGCTACTACGGCCCGGCTTTGGGTGACAATAAATATTTAAGCTTCCTTCTATCGGCAGCCGTGGAAATTCCGAGTTATCTTCTTTGCTGGATGATTATGGATCGATGGGGTCGGCGATGGCCGCTTTGTTTAAGTATGATAATTAGCGGCATCTGTTGCATTGCAACAGTATTACTATCTGAAGGTACACTCGAGACTACCAATGTCGATAATTACTGACTAAGTTCTCAGATGCCACGGTCAGCATAATGGTGCTGTACCTGCTATCCAAGTCTTCAATATCTGCCTCATTTTTAATTATGTACCCATTTGCCGGTGAACTGTACCCGACACAATTGCGTGGGATTGGAATCGGAACCTCCTCCTACATCGGTGGAATGGGACTTATTATAATTCCGTTCATTACATACTTGGTAGCCTACTCTGAATCTTTGCCTACGCGCTAATCATTCATTTGTAGGGTTCAGAAAACCTCATTCTACCCCTGATGATCATGGGTTTTTTCTCGGTATTCGGAGGCCTACTGGCGCTACGCCTTCCGGAAACGTTACACTACCGTTTACCTCAAACAATCGAAGAGGGCGAGGAGTTTGGGAAGAACTTTACCGTCCAGGATTGCTGCAGATGCATTCCACTCAAGTATGATATTGATATGTGCACTTTTATTACGAACAAAAGTACTTTTCCAGATTGAATCCTCCCGTCTTAAGTTCGTTCGAGGATTTAGAATTGGACAGAATAAAAGAGGAGGACGTTGAACAAATTCCATTGGAGGCGTCGAGGCGAATGTCCATGAGACGATTGGCACGACAGACTAGTTTTATGGATACTCAGAAAGACAGCGATGGAAGTATGCAGATAACTTATTGGATGTAATTGCAATACATAAAATTCATGTGAATGGTTTATTTACAAAGAAATTCATGCTTGAGTTTTAATTACATTAATCACACCATGATCATGGGTTTTTTCTCGGTATTCGGAGGCCTACTGGCGCTACGCCTTCCGGAAACGTTACACTACCGTTTACCTCAAACAATCGAAGAGGGCGAGGAGTTTGGGAAGAACTTTACCGTCCAGGATTGCTGCAGATGCATTCCACTCAAGTATGATATTGATATGTGCACTTTTATTACGAACAAAAGTACTTTTCCAGATTGAATCCTCCCGTCTTAAGTTCGTTCGAGGATTTAGAATTGGACAGAATAAAAGAGGAGGACGTTGAACAAATTCCATTGGAGGCGTCGAGGCGAATGTCCATGAGACGATTGGCACGACAGACTAGTTTTATGGATACTCAGAAAGACAGCGATGGAAGTATGCAGATAACTTATTGGATGTAATTGCAATACATAAAATTCATGTGAATGGTTTATTTACAAAGAAATTCATGCTTGAGTTTTAATTACATTAATCACACCATTTTGGAAGAAAAGTCATGGTCAGATGGTGCTGTTTCGAAAGCGGTTTGGCGGGCTACATGGGTCCGTTACAGACTTAAAAGATCAAATCAAAAGCCGTATCTATAGAAAGAGCGTGAAATTTTGGAATTTCAAGCTCTTTTAAGTAGGGCTTTCAACAACTCAAACCAAAACCAAAAGCTTTTTCAGCTCTTCCTTTTATGTCTAGGAATATGTGTACCAAATTTGGTTCCAATCGGTTCAGCCGTTTAACCGGAAATGGGAGAATCCAGATAGACAGACCGACCGTCATCATGGAGATTTTGTTTGAATCGGATTCCACGTGTATTTCGGTAAAAAAAAGTACTTCTTGCCACAATGCCACAATACCTCCCTTACTAACGTACGGATGATAAAAATGAATTCATTTTATTTACATATCCAAAACTTTAAGTCCATATGAAAGAGCTTAAAAGACGAAATCAAAAGCCTTATTATAGAAAAAGCTTGAAATTTTGGAATATTTTAAGCTCTTCTAAGGCTTAGGTCTTTCAAAAAGTCCCAATTCATCTCAAATCACAAGCTAGGGATTGAAGCCTTAGACCAAAAAAAGAATTCAATTCCTTTGCATATGAATTAAAGCCCTTTCGCAAAATTCAAAACTTCAAGTCCATATAGTAAAGGGCTTAAAAGACGAAATCCCGAACCTAGGAATTTCAAGTTCGTTTAGAGCTTTCAAAGCCTTGGGCCTTAGTTATTGTAAAAATGATGGATGCGCATTATTAACAGATCAGCCCTCGTATTTCTTAAGTTGTCGCGATTTGGTAACTTTTCTCTTTACGGTTGGCAATTGAAGTTTAGGAAAAATCCTGTCATTTGTCAAGTTCACCCTAGGTGTACGGTGTTACGTCAATGAATGTGTTTACAATAATACAACCATTTTACGCAATTACACCATTACCATGCAATTCGTGTCGTTATAATGTGTGAATAAAGTAAAGAAAATTAATACCAAATCAAGAAAAATGAATTGTACCCTTAACGGTTATTGTGCGCCGCCCAACCCTGTTAATATCACCAAAGCAATATGTTGATTTAAACAAATCGCCACCCCTTGAAGTTATTTATAAATTGGAGCACGCGTTCCCGTAATGTTAAAATGAATCCGGACGACGACGACGCCGTTATAAATCAACTGAAGCACCCGAGGCTGGTTTGTGACGTCCTGCCTAGAGTCGGCTTAAACTTTTTAAGAGCCCTGGAAAGTAACAAGATTAACGATAAGAAGCACTCACGCGTAGACCTCGAAGCTTTCGCAGAAGATGAGCTCGTTAGGAAGGAGTACCGAGAACTGGTGAGTGTACGAAGCGTTGCATCATGGTATTTAAATGGTTACAGTAGTGCCACTCGATGTAGATTGTGTCGTACTTTTTATTGGAGTGTAATATGTTTCAGTCCGGGAATTTGCTCATTTAGAGCTACAGTACAGGTACCTGATGCAAGAAATCAGCAATATTAACGTGTGAATTTTTTCATTGTAAAATGATTATCATTTTTGGCAGGTGTAGCTGAATCATCTCATTGAATCATGATCTTCGATAGCCTAATTACATCGAGCTATGTTTGCTTTTGTGTTCCTTCCATCTTTTAATTCTAATAACATAATGCTCAATTGTTTTAACAAATTTCTCTCTAGGAGTAAGTCTTTCTTCAACTGTATTTTTTTTAGATTTGATCTTTTAGTTCACAAATGATCCTTGGAAATATGTTTGAACGATCCTTTAATGATCTAAAATTCTAAAATATAAGCAGAACTATGTTTCCAGATCACGTTAAATAAATATTGAAGACAATTGAATACAAGACGCAGTTCATTGTTTTCTGTCATTGGGTTACCATCTCCAGCATGAACGGTTATGCTCTCTTCTCTTATCCTTATCAAAATCCTCGAAGAACATTATCTGTATTTAATACAAACATACACTTTACCTTATTTATAAGACCTCTACTACCCTCTAGTCACCCAACTTTGGAAAAAAACTGAATCTTGGATTTGAGAAAATGGAAATTTGCTCTTGAAATTAATCACAGACTCGTAACTGAGGGAGATCTCTTGTTTTGCAAACTGTAATACTTATTTTTAGGTTGTACACCTATGTACACACCACACTAATTACTCTTTAATATATAGAAATACATTACAGTTTTTCGGGGAAAATTTGGCATCATCCCATATATCTACATAGTTCAGCACGTGCATTATGAAACATTTATCAGTATCATTTGACGCTAGTATCTCAGGATCCCCCCTTTAGACAACAAAATTTGATGACTGGCACACCGTCAAGGTACAGGCGACATATTGCAAAGAATTGTAGGACTCTGGGATAATTCCCCTAAAAGCCGTTCAAAAACGCGGACGGGCGGGCGGATGGACAAAACGCAAGTAATTGCGTTATTAAAGCTTACCGAAACATTTTTTAGGGGAATGTTTCGAGAAAGAAGTAAATTCCCCTTATGTGATGGTTTTGTCCGTCTGTCTGTTCCTTATCTAACTCGAGAATGAAAAGAGACAGTGATGTCAAACCTCTAAAAAGCATTATGCGGGTCACTCTGTAATTGGGCGCGAGCCTGTTGAGGGCCCAGAACAAGAGAGGGATAATGAATTAATTTTTAAAAAAATAAGTGCTATTCAATTTGAGCCGTGATTTGTGTTTTGTTACCACAGGGTGGTTCAAATTTGTTGTTCACCAATCGATTTCATCCACTTTTCGCAGACTCTGGGTCAAATTCGGTAGTTTCCAAAGTTCCAATCTTGACATAGGCCACCTCTATAAACAGAAGTGCCAAGCAACTTTTGATTTCGCCAAAATTTGGTATTTGGAGGATCATTAATAATAAAAACCGAAAAGCTTTTGAAAATTTAAACAAAACAATCTCTGAAAAAAAGACTCCAATATTTAAGCTGTACTGACGGGTTGGACACGCCTCCAAACTACTTACTACTACAATTAGGGGGTTGTGCGTGGGTGCACCATTCTGTTGAAACCAACACTTTCCAATTTTTGTTTTTTGATTGTGTGTCATACATCGTTGTCTTCATAATCAAAAGTGCTGATCAATATACTACATACTTTTCCTGTGGGCCAAAGAATCTCCTACGATGTTCAGTAGCAGAATTTGTTGATACTTAGCTGGCGTTCGGAAACACGACTTTTAATCTGGCTAATATGCTTGAACTGGTAGCAATGGATTGATGAAGGTTTGACATCACTGTCTCTTTTTGTTTTCGAGTTAGACGAGGAACAGACAGATAGACAAAACCAAATGGTGTTTTTATTTTTTTGTATTTGTTCAAATAACATTTAAAAAAATAAAAACAAAATCGGAAAATGTCGGTTTTTCTGGCATATCTTCTGAAGTGTTCGGAATTTTCTGGTTTTCTTTACAGCATGATTTCGTAGAGCACTTTTTTATGTAGAATCCATAGCGATACACAATTTATATACAAGGTGTTTGGTTTTTTATACGACTCTAAATTACATTTTTTCATATGGACCATATTGGAGTATTGTAAATTACATAACAAACGTAACTACATAATTAGTACTGATCTAAATATACTTAGATAAATGGTAACAATAAAAGAAAAGGATAGGGTGAGCTGTAGGAAAAAATGCAGTTATAATAATAATAATAATAAAACGTTGTATTAAAAAAACCAAACACCTTGTATAAAACCTATGTATTTCGATGGATTCTGCATAAAAATGCTCTAATGCCAAAATTGTGGCATTAAAGAAATCGACTAAATTCGAGAAACGCCCCATAGCGGCCAATCAGCTGAATTCTCTACTGTACTGAGGAGAATAGCTAATAAAACAACTTATAATTGCGAGTTGAAAATAATAAAGTAAGATCATTTATTGTGGTTTACTCTTCTAATAAATTAGCGACAGTGCCATCTATACACAACAATTTTTGTGCCATGTTTTCTCTTGGGTGTACTACTGTAACCTTTTTAAATGCGAGAGTTGTATGTAACCGATTTTCTAGTACTGCGAGATGCCGGGCACTCCTAGATCGACATTCCTTATGGTGTTCAGTCCCGATGGCAGTAAGGTAGCATCTACTCATGGCAATCATAACATCTACGTCACGGATCTCAGAAGCGGTAAGAACATCAGAACGCTAGTCGGTCATCCACGGACACCTTGGTGCATCGCCTTTCACCCTACCTGCAATGAGTTGCTCGCTTCTGGGTGTTTGGGCGGTCAGGTGCGAGTCTGGGACCTGAGTGTAAGTATCTACAAAAGATGTCCCCCGCTAACAGGAAAAAAGGTGCTGATTTGTTGCTCATTTTTTGTTATTGTGGCGGAGACTTCGACCGAAGATTTAATTCACTAATTATACTGTACAGGGCGGCAGCGAGGTATGGACGGCTAACAGTCAAACCGTGATAGCCTCAATAGCATTTCACCCGAGTGATCGAATTTTAGTTATCGCCACCTATAACGAATTGTACTTCTGGGATTGGAGCAAACGCGAACCGTTTACTCACACGGCCACGTGCAATACGAAGGAGAAAGTTCGTTACGTCGCATTCGATCGGTTAGGTCTTAAGCTCATTACGGGAATTGCAAATACTCCGCAGTACAGATGGGACAGATCGCGTGTGGTCACCTCGCAAGCTCGATCGGAACGTACGCGTCCCTGCGTGCCGCCTCCGGACCGGTCGGTTAACCAATCGCGGCGGAGATCTGTGCCACGTTCTCTGGGAAGCTACGTGGCGAGTACCACTACTCAGGTGTGTGCGTGTTTTTTTACGTGCCGTAAGCACTTTGTTCTTTTGCATATGTTTAGATCACTGCCTCGACTTCGACCGATCGAGTTCCACTGTCGACCGTGCCGGAGCGCGAGAGGCGAATTATGGCGTGCTATCGTAATTTAGTGAGGGAATACGAATTATTGGTACATCGTTATCTACAAGTTTATCGACCAGCCATGACGGTTAGTAGCTCTTTTCTGTTAACAACAAATTATATGCATGCTAATAACTCACATTGCTGATTGCAGTGACATCTAGGGTAGTTAATTTTAAATTAAAATGAAAAAAATGTGAATCTTCCCTTCAATATACAGGGTGGGCCATTATGCATGGGTGGTAGAATTTATAAAATTCACTGTGGGGATATGTTGAAGGATTCTTGGGCTAGAATATAAAAATATTGTCAATGGAATTGCAATTGTTATATAGGGTGATTTAAGTCAGAGAACCCCCTGTATATTAGTGAATATTTTGACTCCTTAGTCAATTTTAGTGTGGCTTTGTATATGGCACATGATATCTAAAATGAGTTCTTTAGCTGCATTCCTACACACGAGACTACCAAAAGTGGATCTAGTGTGACTATGCAACAAATGAAAAATCTAATTATAAAACACTTCATCACCAAACATAAATCCAGTCTTAAAGCACCTTTTAGCATCTAACATTTGTCAAGACATGGACCTTGCCAAGGATTTAAAATGTGACCAGTGTGATTTTGTTACCAAGTACAACCAGAAACCACAGAATTTCGGAATTTTCAATATTGCACAAGGAAGTTTCCTTGGAAAATTCCACCGCCATCTTGTGTCAGATCAAGTTAACGTCACGTTTATTGCTTTTATACATTCGATTTGTACTGACGATTCGTTGTCAAGTCAAGATTTTGCTTTTGCTTAGTTAACATGAATTATTGATTCTTATTAAGTATTAATTGCGGTTTTAGTATACGAATACCCAAGTGTCAGACGTTAGACTTTGCTACCGCACTATTTATTTGCCGCACTATTCGCTATTCCTCTCGTTTGTTTGTTTATGTTGTTGTCTGTTACAGATAAGGCAGAAAAGCGTCTTTCTGAGCTCAAAAGGCCGTTACAACCAGATTTAAAACTAATCTTTTTATTTTTGAATTGTAATTATTACATTGTTTCATAGTCATTTAACAATTATAGCGGAAATTTCTCTGACTACGAGTTGATTCCTTTTTACTGAAAATTTGAATTAAATTTAAACGTTGATATTTCAGATCTAGGTCTAGAACATAAAGTCACACTAGAATTGACCAAGGAATCGAATAATATACAGAGGGTTCTATTTAAAAAATGCGACTTTGATATAAATCACCCTGTATAACAATTGCAATTTCGTTGAAAATATTATTAGATTGTAGCCTAAGAGTCCTTCAACATGCCCCCGCAGTGAATTTTATAAATGTGGGTTAATAAACCTACAATCTTCCACCCTCGCACTAATGGTCCACCCTGTATACTGCTTTAAAGTTCAAGATCCAAGATTTCCTGTTAAAATACATCTTTAAGGGTTTATGACCGCCTCTTGCATAAAAATTGGTTATACTCTTTGTCATTGTATGCAATCTATAATTATATTAACAGTAATATATCCATTGGAATTACAATAACAAATACCAATGACAAACTATGTACCTATTTATCTAATTAAAAGATAATGATATAAACAGGAAGCGCCATTCATTGATTATAAATATGAAGTATTAAAATTAACGTACAATAAGCATACTATAGTGAGTTTATGTAAGCTTATCTAATTGAATTTATGAATGAATAATTTACAATTAGTTGTTTATGCAGCTATTTAATGAAACTTAAGAATTTAAACGGTCTACTTTTATCTTGTTTAAATTCTTCGCCAATGCGAACAACAAATAATGAGACTCGGTTCAGGTCTCTTATCAAGCAGTCTTAATGCAATAGGAAACTAAAACCTGATAATAATGACTTAACGGGGCTGAAATTCTAAAATATTAATGCCCCTCGTCTTCTAAATGATAAGAGCTTTCGGACGCACCAAACATAATCGAAATATTTTGACGGGAACGGTTGCAAACGGCGGATTAATTACAGCTTTTTTTTTACGGTAACGGCGACTGAAACACAACCCTAGAAATTCAATCAGTTACCTTTAGTTTCTATTGTCAACTCCTAGAACCAACACAAATACGTTTGGTACGACACTTAAAACGCTTCTAGATACCGAGTGTTCATCTACACTGTGATCACGAATGGCCGTTTGCAGAGACAAATTTAAGCTAGCTCAGTTTAAATTTGTCTGTGCAAACGCCCATAAAACTGGTAACTTCAAGGCGAAAAACGGGTGCTTGGTTACAAGTTTTTGACATACGTCAATTTTTCTCTGAAAATTTGAAGATGCAAAGGTCCATTCAAAAATTCATATCTTAAACCGTTCAAGATGAGGGAGTACTATTTTTCATAATTGAATTCTTAAAGTTGTAAGAAATTTTTCGAGTGATCGCTAAAAAGTTTTCAGATCTGCTGCGATTTTGCAAAATTAGCAATGGCAGAATGTCAAAAATTTCCGTGTATCAAATTACTACTATTTCTCATGCCAGAAATGAACGTAGATTTCAATTTTAGGGTCACATTCTGTATACATCCGGTAGTTCTTAAGTGATTGGCATTTTTTGAACTGCGTAGAACTTTCAGAGATGACTTAAAAAATTCCTTGGACTTTGAAGATTCCACTGTAAAAAAGAGCCCTTAATTATCTTGAACAGTTTAAGAGATATGAATTTTTGAATGAATGCATCTCCAAATTTTTAAAGAAAAATTGACGTATGTTTCTACTTCAAAAAACAAGATGGCGCTATCTCCCGGCATTTACGAAAGCGGCGCCATCTTGAAATTATCTTATTTCAATTCGCGATGATCGATCATGGCTCTGAACCAAATTTCAAGCTTCTATTTCAACTACATGAATCTCCCTGTATATTCAGTGTGATTTAAAATTCCAATACTCGTTGAAGTCAATGTCCAAAACTTTCTTTCGGCACAGAACTTCCACCATGACCTCAATCTGATAGTGTGATGTCTCAGGTTATTTCCTCTTATTGAGGTCAGGTGTCTGGAGGCAGCCCATCATTTCTCAGGGCGTTATCTGAAGGATAAGACCGCCAGAGTAAGAGTCCTCCATAGGGGATCTGGAATCCTGTTAACAGATAACAGTTCTCCCTCAAGGAGAGAGGTAAAGAGGCGATACTGTGGATAAATCTCTGGTTGGTACGAGGTCTGATCACAAAATACAATGAATATCTTTATTACAAACAAAATAATAAGGTTACATGTCCTAAAGATGCGCTTATCCTTGACTGGAAACATTATTGAAAGGGAGTTCAGCTGCTTTTTCGTGACGGCCATCTCAATGTCAGGGATGGTATCAAAACGTTTTTCTTTTATCATGGTTTTTTTGGTGCTAAATCTGGTAAGTTAAGACTCGCGAATCGGCAGCGCCGTGGGGCATGTGGAACAGGTGGCCGCTTTACGGTTTCAAAAAATTTGAATTTTGTTCAAATTTACACATATACCGCTTCTTTGCGAACGTGAACTAAAGTATGCCTGGAAATAGAAGCGATAACAACGTGCGCATGTTCGAGATAAAACGCTCGTTAGATCGGATTGTAAGGGGGGGTTCGGCAGACGAGGTTAGACTTTCAAAGAGTTATCACGTATTATTGATGTGCGAAAATTAGATTGTATTTTCGCATTATTTCGCAGCTAATTCCGCGAGACCTTTGGTTTGTGAAAATTTATCAAGTAGCGATAAAGCGTTACCCGTTTTATTTGGGGTGAAAACATTCTAAACAAGAACGTTGTTGCTATTTTTCAATCGCGTCTTTAGGAAGCGGTAATTGAAATCAGATTCATGTACCATCGAAGTGATCTGTTTCCACCTTTCTAAAGGAAGCTACATTTTCCGGTTGCAGAAGATAATATTACCCACGTAAATATCAGTTATTTCAATTTTTTTTATTTGTATAAAGTAGTCGTTGGTTTGTGAATTTGCCGGAATTTTGTTCCAAAAAAAATTTTGATATTCCTAAAGGAATCGACCCGTGAACATTATTTGCATGAAACATATTTTGTATTGTATTTAAAATTATTGAATCCAAACAAAGAATTTTTGTTATTTTGCTTCATTGGTTGGGCATTTAGTTTCAGTGATACCATTCCTTTGGTTGGATTAAAATTTTGTTTAGCATTCAAAGGTGTGTAGATTTTAAATGGGGTAATGTGACAGGAATTGATTATGTATAAAAAAATGACAGTTTAGATAAGGAGTATTTAAAACTTGCTTATAACCAAACCGGCCAAATCCCACCACTGGCTTTGAGCAAAGCTACCATTTTACTTTGTTTTCTTTACTGTTCTAGATTGATAGGGGAACTGATCCCATGGAAATGGAACAAAGCAATCTTCCTAGTACATCACATTCAAACGTGCAAACTTCGACACAATCCCAACAAGAATCCTCACCCAGCGATGCCTTACCATCTCGATGCCGTCTAGTCTTAAGAAGCACTTTAGGCGTACAAACCAGCACTAATTCGGTAACAGACACGAGTAGTTCTCCCAAACCGGAAAGTTCCTTTCAAATGAAAATCAAGTGCTCCCCAAAGCACACTGCCTCTGAAAAGGGCGCAGACTGTCGCACCAAAACTGACACCACAACGGAAACAGAACCAAGCACAAGTGCCCAATCAGAGACCGCGATTCCGTCAACCTCGTCACAAGCCCCACCGAAACCCATGGAACAATCGCGAATTCCATTGAAACGTTTGTATCCCGGTTTTATAAAGAAGACTTCGAAACAAAACAGGCGACCGATTCTTGACACGTCATCCGATAGCAGCTCAGATGACAATGTTGAGCTTGTAAAAAAGCGATTGTTTCCTACTCGCTCGAATAGTACACCGGCAAGTACAGCATCCGAAAGTCTACCTTCTCCCAGTGGGGATACCCAACCAATGACGAGCACAAGTTCCAACACTCCGAGCTCTACCCGTACAGAATCGAGCAACGATAGACCGTTTTGTTTAAGTAACTTTGTAGCAAACAATGGCAACACGTCACAGACCTCCCGGGAGCATGTGTGCAACCGATGTGGGGGAAATATCGAACGTCAAACGCAAGTCGATACGCCTCCCCCGCCTTTGGATAACCCACGCAACGATCAGGAGGAGGCGCGCACCGACCCACCGCCCACTCATTCGCAACCTTGCGCCCGATCCCTAATGAACACTGACACTCGCACGACAAACTCGACCGTTTACACGCCATCTAGCGGACCGCGCCGCCGATTTTTCTCGCACGTTCTCTCCGCATTTCTACCGCCACGCAGCAGCAGCTCGCAACCCACGTTACGCCAACGTCAAAATCGTCTGCTCTCGCTCAGCACGCGAAATCACCTCGACTCGATCACGCGGAACAGCGGACGGAACAGCAACTTCGCACCGGACGAGGTCATCAACTACGCCGAGCGTGTCAATTCGGAGGGCGAAATTTCGGAGCAGTCGCCGAACGTGAACGACTTTCACCCGTTCGATCCGCCGCCCGAGTTCCCGTCCATCAATCCCGAGAACATCGGCATCGGCAACATGTACTCGAACATCGTGCAGGATCTCGAGTCGAGCCTGAATAACGTTCGCAATATACGCGCGAGCAATCGGCCCGGCGAGACCTCGGACATGCTCAGTACGTTCTCGGAGCGGCTCGAGAGTATTATGCACCAGTCGGATTCCATCTTGAGGAATTTACGGAACACCATGGATCTGTTGCCGCAGAGCACGGAGGCGACGGAGATGAGGGCGCAGGGCGCGCCCGGTGGAGGAGGCGACGCCGAGCATCCCCGTTTTTTGTTCAACGATCCCAACTTTTATGTTCGCGATCAGAATCAAAGTACATTGGCGGATAGAACTAGGTAGGTAACCTTAAATGTACTTACGTGTAAACAAATGGAGTACCCAGTATTGAGTATGGTGTATTAGTTCATACACTAACCGTTTGAGGTAAGTATTAAGCACTGACAATTACACGGTACGACAGTGCTATATAATACAGATGGATCATGGGATGGGTGCTTTTAGAAACATAACAAAACCACCCTGTATATGGTTGATAAATCGTACTTTATTGCAGCAATGGCTTGCAAACAGTGCTGTTGTACTGAATACCAAAAGTACTTTTAAGTACCACAAATTTTCTGATACTTATACTTGAATGTTTAAGTACTTATGTCTTAGATTAATACTGGTACTTAGTACTTATTTAAAACTAGTACTGAATATTCAAAACTACTTAAAATAGTTACTTAAGTAAAAAAATAGTTTAAGTATCGAAAAATACTGGTACCTACTTAATTTGTTGTATTAGTTTTAATTGTGAAATAAAGTATTTACTTCAGCTAAACACTAAATTTATTTTTATTAGAATAATTGATATTCAATTTTACAATGATTGACATTTAGTAACTGAAACAACTTACATTTTTATGGTATGGTACTTCAATCCTTAATTTAAGTACCGTGAGTACTGAATAGTCTGTACTTCATTTTATTATATTTAAGTTCGGTGTACTTAAAATTTGAAATATTGGCACTGGTACTTAATACTTCAGTACATTTTTATGGTACTTACAACAGCACTGCCTGCAAAGCCTCATCGGGCGCAAACGATAGGTACACTTTCATATTGTCTGCATAACTGTGGAATTTGCAAGACAATACAGCAAATTTTAAATTAAATGTATAACTATTAAATAAAAGTGGTCCAAGTATGGACCCCAGAGGAGCGCCACAGCTCAATCCGCGAGGAAACTCAAAATCATAGAAGAAGCCTATAACTTGTGGTGACAACCCTGCAAGCGGTTTAACGTGTCAAAAGCTTAGACCATACAGTACAGGGTGAGTTAACGATTGAGCAGAGTAACTTAATGCTTTGAAGATAAGATTTTTCGATAGAGTGCTTTTGTATTATGATATGGTTGAATATTCTCCACATTTTAAAAATATTTGGAATTATACAGGGTGCGCCCACAAAGTAAATAGTAAATAGAACCCCCTGTATTTGAATGCATTTTTCAATTCTACGTGTAATTGTACGTCTTTTTTATTATATGGTTAATATCCAAAAAGCTAGTAGTTTTAAAGATAATTCGATTTGTTTTTGTTTAAATACATCTACTATGCAACATTAAAAAAATAGCTTACAGGGTGTTTTTTTGGTAGGTCCAAAATTTCATTTTAAAAATCTCAGTTTTTTTAAATGGAACACCCTGTATATTTTTCTGTCATCTTTTAGCTCTTCCAAAAACCTTCACCTTTTGATAATAATGTTTAATAATAATAATAATATTTATTACTGCACACTTGTAACAAAAAATATACATTTGCAGAAGTCACACTTATACCATATTTTTGAAATCCAAATTTTCAAATTCTGGTATGCTATAAGAGGCATGTTTAATTAATATACATTTAAGAATTTTCCTCAGGCTTAAGATTGATAATTTTCATATACTTAAAGGTAATTTATTAAAAAGTATGACAGAAGTTCTGAAAATATTTTGTGTAGCCTACAGTATTTCACATAAATTTACAGCTGTTCTCATATTTTTTTGACGCATCCTATGCACTACAATCATGTGTCCATGGAAATAAAGAGTATTATTATTATGACGCTGTTATGGCGTCACTAAACTAATGCGTCCGCCTCTTCCACCTGCCCTACTTTCCCACAGAGCAAAAGTGGTTCATCCAAACGCTCTGACAATTTCGCCTTGTAGCAGTCCCAGTCAGTGGATCGGCGAATTCAAAACCTGAAGGCCCCGCAGTGGGTTGCCGGGTTTAGTTGGAAGAGCTGTGGTCACGAAAGCGACGGCTCGGCAGACACTCTCCAATCCGTGATCATCTGAGCTATTGAAAAGGGGCCCAGCGTCAGATCAATGACCTCCTGCCTCCGCGCTGTGACGAAGGTAGGGGCTGCTCCCTGATTTAAAACATTCCAAATCAGTTGTTTGCATCACAGCTACTACTCGGCGGTTCTTTTTCAGATCCGAATGGTGTTTGCACGACTATAGGTTAACCCTTGAGATTCACATACTCACGACTATAGTGTATCCTATTCATGACAACCCATATACTGTATTAATGTCAAAGGCCTTATAAAATCAAGTAAGGTAAGATCAAAAATGTCAATTGGTTCAGGCGTTTAGCCGGATACAAAAGTACAGACTGACTGAGACTGAGATTTTGTTTGATTCGGATTTGGTGTGGGTGGTAAAATTGAACACTAGGTCATGGAAGAGATCATATAATACATTTTTGCGTTAATTTATGGACGCACTGATGTAGTGTAATGGGCTGTTACTCAAAAAGGGATTGAAACTTTCCTTTAATTTACCAAGTTTTGAAACTGAACCCAAACTGTAATTTCTATGCAGAAATTAATTCAATTGTTATTTGCCGTCGGCTATCCCGACTTTACAAAAAAGATGAAGTCTCCCACAATGAGACCGATTGAACCAAGTTTATTGTTAAAAATATTTTTTGTTATAATTTCGGGACGCAGTTTTTCCTTAAGGATAAGTACATTTGGCTACTTAATAGCTGCTCCCTATTCGCTGCTAGTAAATATACAGTGTGTCCCAAATCGCGTGGGATTGCATGGGTAACTTTCTTATTATTAAAGATAGAGAATTGGTTAAATGGACAATGTTTTGCAGTTTTAGATGCTTATTTAAAATTTCTTTGTGGAAATTCAAAAAGTCACATAGGTTCGACGTAAATTTAAAAAAAAACACAAAAATTGGTCATTTCCGTGAATGTCTTATAATCTTATATCATCGAAAGCATAAGAGATATAAAAAAAGCTTTATACAAAAGTTATTGTTTTTCATACGCTTAATTTAGAATTCATATAAAAAAAAATTCAAGATGGCTACTTTTACTTCCTAAAGTTAAATAGGTGCCATATTGGATTTTTAGAGTACTTGATAGATTTTTTAATTCTATTTTCAACGAGCTATCATAACATAAGATTGAAAATAAGATACCAGGTATATCAACGGTTTTTATATCTTAATCAAGTAGACTGTGATGAATTAAAAAAAAACAAAACAAAATCTATTCGAGGCAACAAAACAATGAAAATAATTACATCAGATGTTTAAAATTTTAATAATGACCAGTATTAGTGAAACACACTTCAAAACAGTTTACATTGATGCTATAACACGCCTTTAGAACGCCTTCGCGCAGTTGTGTATGTTATTATTATGGTTGTAGCATTGAATAATGATCACTCAACGGTTGTAGCTACTTTCCATATACTTTATTCTTGAATGTACAATGTGCACTATTCGTGAATTGTAAACCTGGGCAGCCAGCTTGTTGATAGGTACCATAAACCAACCCTTTCTGTGAAACATACGTTATCTAGAAAATCCTTTAAGCAAGTTTATTGGAGAATTTGTAAATAATGGTGAGCAGCTAAAGGCTTTTGCGAGAGGATAGTTTGTAGTTATACCATCATTTTGTAGGTACCTATGTAAGTATGGATAATAAGATAGTCAATAAGTGATGTCATAAAAGTCAAAATTTGTGTAGGCCTACTTATATAAAATTTTGGAGGAATTGTAAAGCCCAAACCCCCTTTCCATGAGTGCGCCCCTGATATTTTAAACATCTGATGTAATTATTTTCATCGGTTAGTTGCCTCGAATAGATTTTGTTTTGTTTTTTTTTAATTCATCACAGACTACTTGATTAAAATATAAAAACTGTTGATATAACTGGTATCTTATTTTCAATCTTATGCTATGATACCTCGTTGGAAAGAAAATGAAAAAATCTATCAAAGTTGGTAAATGTTCCTCAAAAGTAGGCATCTTGAATTTTTTTGCATCAATTCTAAATTAAGCGTATCAAAAAAAATCGAAATTCTCTTTTTAACCGATCTCTAGAGATTTAATCTGTTAATTTTCAAAGCTCACAAATGGCGATATCTACATTTTCTATTGGTTAGTGGATTTTTACTCATTCTAAACGGCTGTTGTCATTTCAAAACTGCACATTCAGCATTTCTTAAGTTGGTTTATCACATGATGAGCTAAGAAATGTAATACTAGATCCCTACTAAAACGGATGTAAACTAAGCCATATAACTCACATTCCTGGACACGACTGACTATTAGAGGAAATTTAAAAAAGACGCATTGATAAATTGATCTATTTATCGTCCCATTCTTTCTCATTTAAGTTGTAAACCACGTGCAAATTAATCATTCTACAGGGGTTTCTTGCGGACACAGGAGTAGTACTAATTTAGTTTGGATTTAACACACCAGATGCTTACCTCCAAACCACAGTTGCCTAAATTTAACAAGGCATGATCCATCTGTAGTATATTTACATTTGCGGTACTAGTATTTATGACAAATATAACAAGAAGTAAGTACGTTATATTACTATTTAAAAAACACTTATGTATCAAGTAGCATTAATTTTTCAACACAGGATAGTCCTATGAAATGTACAAGATACAATGCAACCCTAACAACAAATAATGAAATACAAAGACAAAAATTTTTGATTCCAAAATGACTATCCTTCTTCTGACCGTTCAAAGGTATTGCTCTTCTCGCCCAACAATAAAACATGTATCAATTTTCCATTTTATTAAGGACGGCATACGAATTAAAAAATTGAACCAGTTATGAAATGAGGCAACCATAATTCAGCTATTAAATATCAGAGGTCGCAGCATGTTTTAAAATCGAAAGATAGTGAAGTATTATCTTTGTAGTAAATAAATTGTGCTGCCACATCGTGTCGAGTAGGTGGTACTATCTACTTACTCAATTGGTTTGTGTATACTCTAAATTTAATTACTTTTACATGTTGGCTTCCTTGACCTTGTGCACATTCCTTTGCTTATTTTAACGAGATAAAAAACAGCTGGTTGACATAGATTAAATTACATTTAAGAGTCTTCTTTACCTAAGCGCAACTTTTTTACATTATAGTGTATAGATGATTATAGCTGCAAGAGATAAGGTGATATTCTTGCTTTGTCAACTCCTGTCTTGGTCCTTAGTTAGTTCCCACCGACGCTGTGCAGCGGCGCCACTTGTTACACTCAAATTGTTGATTTAACGCCCACCAAGATACAGACTTTATTTACAAAAATTATGATTTCATTTTTTGGGGTCATGTTTAGAAGTAACTTATCTAAAAATCTGTCGGTTTACTTTTTCCATAAATCGTCTTGATCGAGAGTAAAAAAATAAAACAGATTAGCGCAATAATCGGTGCGAAACATCTAATCTTTAAACAATCTGTATTAAGTTGCTATAAACTTTTAAAAAAAAATAGTCCGAACATTTTGTAGATAAAGGTCTAAATTTATAAAATAGTTCTTAAAAAAATTGTTTTTGTAAAAACAAATAGAGTTTTTATGGCGGGCGCTCTTATGGAAATTTACATTGGATACAGTGGGTACAGAAGACTCTTAAAGGTACACGCAAAAACCAATTATGCACTATTACCTGTTATAATTCAACAAATTCAAGGCCTGTTTTTTTGTTCAAATACCTAGCCCTTCTGCTCTCGCTCTGCAGTCGAAATCGCAAATAAAATTTTTGACGTTCATTTGTTAATATGCTTATAATTCTTTGATGTGAATTTAAAAGGATACATAGGGGAATTTGCTTTATTTACAAAAAACTGTTTGTTTTTGTTTATTTTGTCATACCTACAATTTGTAATCATTATTTTCACTAATACTTCATACTATGCGATCAGAAAAGAGTTGTTGTCGAGCAACCTTTGGAATTTTTGGTTACCCAGAAAATCGGCGACTCGATTGTCAATCCTTTTTTGATCGCCCCTTATATGAAAAGCTGGAGAAATCCTACTTGGGGGTTATCTCTGCCCTCGAAATTGACAGAGGATGCCCAGGGGCGGCGCTACGAGGGTGCAGTGAAGTAAAAAATTAACCGTGCCGAAAAAATCGTTACTCGGGGCAATTAATATTTTTTTACTGAAAATTCACCCCCGCCCCTGTGATGTCTACCCCTGAGCATACCCGGAGAATTTGGACAGTAGATCTGGTCTCTGCGCCAACGAAGATAATAAATGCATTTTTGCACCCCTGTGATTTTTAGGAAATGCACGTCGTAGGATAGACATAGGATAAGGGCAGCGTTACACAATCGTGTAAAATTTCCAAACGGTTTTAACTACCTGTCTTCTTTTCCGGAGGGTCGCCCACACACATTCAAATCACAAATGTCATTTTATCTTAGTAAACGAGAAAGGAATGTTGGCATAGGTCGCGTTTATGTACTCGTCTTTAGACAAACAACAATTCATTGTACTCAATGACATCATAATCGGATGCAGCAGTTCCTTTATAATATTTTTTTACAGACGCGCGCCAGGTTGTACCTTAGCGACATCTAGAAATAAATAGCTGCACTACTGCTGCTTGCCGCCATTGTGATTGATGTAACTTTTTAAAAATGAAATCTTTGAGAATGACTCCTGGCCGCAATATTGGGTTTTAAATGACAAAACTTTCAATATTGAAAGAGGAGGAGCAGTTTTACAGCGACTGTACTTTAAAATTCAACAATTGCTTAAAATAAAATATAAAATGTGCCCTCTTATTTTAGCAATATTGTAGTAATTACTGTCTTTTTAGTAAAACTTTTATACAGTCGCTCTAGAGTAATGTATGTAGAATTTATATTTTCAAAAACCAAGCTAAAAAATGATTGTATAAGCCTAGGAGTCATTCTCAAAGTTTGATATAATTTTACAATGCAATTTGTCAGTGGCGACCTCTATTGGTTCTCATGAATAGTATGCCGTCCTTAAGTCAGATTGGATGAGTTAGTATGAAATTTAGGAATTTGTTTCTCAGTAGATTGGAGACTGGTGATTCTTTAAACGGCGCCCCTCACCACGAAGAACTGTTCACAAATCGAAGTGCAATAGCTTCCGACCATACCTACCCTCGCAATCCGGAAAGCCCCAGAACACTGCCATCTTCGTCAGATAACCTTACACCCCTAATGACTTCGCTTCATCTCACTATATCTCACATTCAGCGACAAGCTCGTCTTTTACGGGTGCAAGTCGAAAGTATAGAGCGTATCGATCGTGCCATGCTGGAAGTCGCGCAAATACAAACGATTAGGCAGATGTACACGGAAGTGAGACGTCATATAAATAATCTCAGCGGGAATGACGGGCGAAGTACCGGCGTTTCGAGCGTTAGACAAATGATGGCCGGTACTCGCATTAGCGATTCGAGCCCGGGGAACTCCTCGGTCGAGGACGACAATACGGTCTCGCCAAGCGTGGACGCTAATCGACCCACAACAACTGAAGGTATAATGTTCAACGTCGACTAGGTAATAATCATTCTTGTCTAGAACCGAGTACTTCGGCAGAGGGTGCGACTCCGCCGCTACCGCGTCAACGTATCACCGCAAGAAAATCGTTTCCCCCGTCGCGCCTTCTCCACATTCAGCGACAAAACCGTAGATTCGCAGTAGTCAATTTTCTACCACGTCGTTATTCTCCGCGCGAACGTACAATGAGGCGGCGCGTGTATCTGCGCGCCTTCTCAGCCAGATCCAACGCGTCGAGGTTAGGATCGGAAATGTACGACGGCGGATTCCAAGAGGAATCGCGCGTCAACTGCGAATATTTCGCGTTTATTATTAGAAAATTGGAATTTTTACTAACCGAATACATTCGAAGTCTCGGTCGACCTTCGGATAGTCAGCCGGTTATACCCGGTATCGAAGCGCGAGAGAACGATACCGTGAGACTGCTCAGTGTATGTCGTACTAGATTAAATCGACTCTCTGGACAACCTTGCGGGTGTCATACCGAGTCTGGTACGGTCGAAGGCAGTAGCGTAACCGTAGACGGTGCCTCACGAAGCTTAGCTAGAATTACATTAACCTCCCATTTGACCACCATGTTGCAGTTCATCGAAGAGAATAGTAACAATCATATTTCGCAAAATATTCGTTCACAAATTAAGAACGCGATCGATTTAACGTTTTTATTGTGCGATATTCTTTTACTTCACATTGTCGACTCCATCCCGCCACCGACCGGTATGAATTTGGATCCGGAACGTGAAAGTCTGTCTGCAAGGATCGATCAAATGTGTAGCCGCATGTTGCAAGGGCGACTTAGCGGAGAATCTCACAGTTTAACGCGCAGTCTACGTTTAATGAGGATAACCGCGCGGTTTGCCTCGCGCGCCCTCGGTCAGACCTACAATGCGAGACGAAATGCGATCTTCTCGACGGGAAACAACAGTCGACGCGAGTTAATTGGGCAGATCAGCAATACTCTACATAACATTAATAGAAGCCGAAGAATTTCGCATTCTCCGAATCAACTCAGACCGAACGTCGAAGTGACACCTTCCGATATGCCAATGCGCGAATGGTACCAGACAATTAACGCCCTGGTCTCACGCTACAACACAAGCCAAACAACCACGAACACTAACAGTACGGCCGGCTCCACTCAGTACAACGCCGACCTCTTGGATAGGCCTCGAAGTGCCGTTTTCCTGTACGAGGATGGCTCGGTGAGCGACGACGACAACGATCGCGACTGGTACAACAACAATTTGCCGAGCAACGAACGCAGGCAGACACTGTACCGGACCAGTAACGTAAATCTGTTAAATAACGACTCGTCCGCACAAAATCGACTGACCATCCCCACCGTGCAAATTAACGACGTGCCAATTTCCGAGTCGAACTCCGCGTGGCACTCGCGAATATCGCACACGCGGTATCGACTCTCGGAGTTGCGTTCGAATCCTACGGGCGGCCTGTTTCGCCCCAGGTTTCTGCATCCGCTTTATTCCGGCGTGAACCCGTTCGACACGGACATCGACGATCCGCAACGCGAACAGTCGTACGAAGGCGATATGGTCCTAACGGTTACACCCAACCATCGAATACAGGCGTGGGACATTTCGTCTGGTAAAATTCCCGATATCACTAACGGTAATGTGGGGCGTTTGGTGAGTTGGTGTTAATTTGTTGTTGTGTTACAGCTATGCGGAATATCGTCGTCGGTGAATGTAAAATTCACAATGATGCCAGTGTAGACATTTCGGCGGATGGAACGATATTAGTTACACTTTTACCGTCGGGTGGATATTTAAATGTAACAAACAGATTAGGTAGGTTTTGGCATGACTAATTGCTTTTATACGCTCATGTACAGTTCTTGACATATTGAGTGTGGAAACTGCTAAATTAAAACAGGAGTGGACCTAAAATAAAGCCTTGTGGCACCCCTATACATAATTAGCCAAAAGAAATTGGAACATTTACCTTAACTTATCAGTTTGGTGTACTTAGGTCGTTAGAATAATTATTGTTCTAATGGCTTCACTCGTTGCGAATATCCTAAGCCCCCCCCCCTCCGTCGTAATTGTGCGTAAGTGGTGGGAGGGGGAGGGGTAACAATGTACCTACAAAAAGGGTATTATTGCAGTTTTACGGTTATATCTTGTAAATGACTCGTGAAATGATTATATTTCAAAATAATAAAGTGTATAGTTACAAATAAAGGGGAACATAAGTAGGTATACAAATTTTACAGACGTCTACGTTTAATTTCGTTGGGCCGTTCAGCTCCCCAAAGTCTGTTATTTATGCACTCCAGGTCTTGGTCAACAACTGGTTTGTCAATTGCACACACCTTTGATCGTCCCCGTGATCTCTCGATCGGGGAGGAGTAACTATGACTCTCTTAAGATGTAGGATGGGTCAAGACCGAACATTGAAGTCTGCAATCCGCAAACCAAATCCATCTGGTGTCCTAACCACATTTCTACTTGTAGGTAAGTTCTCAATCAACGTTGGCGGACTGCTTCGGTTGTTGGCGGTAGGGATGCCAGATTGAAATTGGATTTCACAAGTGCTTTGGAAAACAGGTCAAATCGCAATTTGTCTCCTGTCTTACCTCCATAGAGGGTTGTCAAAAATAGTAGGTCGGTTTCGACAATAGCTTCAGCTTGAGTGTCATGCTAGAAGAAAGGTTTAATTTCTTTTTTTTTGACCAACAGTTTGACCACGTTCTTCTTGCCCTGCCTGATTAGTGCCGAAGTGGTGTCACATCCACTTATGGCGTGGAGAAATATGACTGACCTTCTGATGTCGTCTGCCAGTTTGAAGTTGTCTGAAGCAAATACTTTTGATGGCGTCGTTTCCCATACAGGTTTTGAAAAATATGTTTGCTAAAAGGTGGGGGGGGGGGTACAGTAGGTACAACAAGGCGAGCTGAGTCGATTACTCTCTGGGAAATTTTCATCTAAAATATTTTCAATTTTATAAGACCTTCGCTTTTATCCGAAGTATTTTAAATGGCATACTCTAAATCCATTTTTTAAATCTACGCAAAGTGTGGCCTACATTTGATACATTCGAAATTTTTGGAAAGTATAAAAAAAGTTTATACAGAGTGTTCAGTACGTAATTCATGTCAAATTTCACAATTTCGAAATTGCAAAAGTCTAACTTGCCCCCCCCCCCCCTCCAGCACTGGATTGTATGGTCTGTATGAAATGAACTGGAAGTGTACACTGCCTTTTTTTGAGGCCCGAAAGAAAAATTGTCTCAGATCGACCCGGAAAAAAAAATTTTCCTATAGAATGTGGCCTGTAGAATCCATAATTTCAAACAGTTCCAAGATTGGGCTATTAGTTCAAAAGTTACAGCCCTTTGAATTTTCTTTCGAAATTGGTTTCTAGTCTATAACTTTTGATTGAGAAGTCTGATCGAAAAAGTACGAATTGTTTGGATTCTACGCACCAAAATTAATAAGAAAAAGTGTTTTCCCGAGAAATTTTGGTGTAGTCGATTTTTGGTAAAAAGGAAGGTTATACACTGCCTTTTTTTGAGGCCCGAAAAAAAAATTGTCTCAGATCGACCCGGAAAAAAAAATTCTTATAGAATGTGGCCTGTAGAATCCATAATTTCAAACAGTTCCAAGATTGGGCTACTAGTTCAAAAGTTACAGCGCTTTGAATTTTCTTTCGAAATTGGTTTCTAGTCTATAACTTTTGATTGAGAAGTCTGATCGAAAAAGTACGAATTGTTTTGGATTCTATGCACCAAAATTAATAAGAAAAAGTCTTTTCACGAGAAATTTTTTACCAAAAATCGACTGCACTTTTTTTTGAGGCCCGAAAAAAAAATTGTCTCAGATCGACCCGGAAAAAAATGTTCTTATAGAATGTGGCCTGTAGAATCCATAATGTGGCTAGTGCAGGGGTCGGCAAGTTGGGGCTTTTCGCATTTATTAAAAAAATTACTTCATTTTTTCGAAATTCACTTTTTTTGTGACACTTGTTTACTTTCTGGTATTCTTTTGTTTTTATTATCACAGTCTACTCCGATGTATAAAAATGTAATTAATTAATGGGTAGGTACTTTTGTGAAAAATACTGAATAACCTAAAAACTATTGGGTTTAAAGCACAGTACATCCCTTATACAAATTAAAGAGAACATAAAAGACAATCGAATAGCGAAACAAAATAGTGATAGTTGGATTTGAAAAAGAATAGTTATGGTACTTTAGACAAATGACATTGAAACAAGTAAAAATATGCAGGATGTTCTATTTAAAAAATCAGTTATTTAAAGACACCGTAAAATTGGAACGCCCTGTACATTCAAAAATAATTTCTGTTGATCCACAATCATCTATAGTTGACATTTGCACAAACTATTTTAGGTATGAGCTAGGAAAGACCGACGCACTGTTGCAGCACCCTGTATATAACCAAATAGTTAACATTGCTTCGAAAATGTTTAGTAATTTTGTAAATTGTGACTTTTGGCTCTTCGGTTTCAATAGGTTGCCGACCCCTGGGCTAGGGCATTGACCATGATGAGCAGGTCCATATCCTCACAAACCACCACAACTTTCTCGTCCTCCTGTGATACCTCAAGTGTCGTGGCAACAATCAGGTGGTCCGCGTCTTCATTAGCTTGCTTCACTGAGAAACCTTCACCTTCAAGCGTCTCCGTAAGCAAACTAATAAGACGTGCCTTTTTTTTGTCATTGGGGAGGAAGCTCTTAAGTCATGGTCACGACCATTGACTCGGTAAAGATGGTCATCAGAAGTAGTGTGTTTTTTGCTTTGCCAGAGGCGCTTACCATTTGACGTTCTTGGTGGGCAGGTCTTCCGGGTAAGTAGGTAAGCAACACCTATTCGGGCCTACTTTGACCTTGGATTCTGCGCAATGCGCCGAGTTCAAGATCATTCGTTTCACCACCATCAATGACAAAAGTTGATCCTTCCCAGTTTCCCTGATTTATTTATTTTTTTTATTATCCCTCTCTTGTTCTGGGTTCTCAAGATATTTAGTTTGTTGTTTTTGCATTCGGTGTCTTATAGCTCTGGCACCTCCACCAAGAAAAATCTTGACGATTAACGTGCGCATGCGCAGACTGCGCAATGTCATTTTTCTTATTTATAGAGATATTTTTTTGAAATTTTAACCTTCTGGTAAAGGCAAACATATCGCATATTTTAAACATCATGTGTGCGCATAGGCAGACTGCGCAACAAATTTATGTTTCACCAGGGTTTAATCAAATAATATGTCAGGAATTGTACATTTCTGATTTAGGTCGCTTTACTTTATTATTTTATGCAGGTGTATACAGTCTTCACTGGGAAACACTGGGTCAGTGCTTGTTTGTAACAAGCTTTGAACAGAACGCCGTCTCCGTTTCGCTTTCGCCTTTAAGCCGCCACTTAGTGGTCGGACTCGCCTCTCGCCGTGTCTCAATAGTGCCGAACGAGAAGTGGACGATGGCCCGAATCTTCTTCTTAAACCACAAGGACGCGCCGTACAGTAGCCGGCTGTCTCTGCTTCGCGAATTGCAACAAAATCGCGACACGACGTACATGAGCCTGAACTGTATTCGATGGCTACCGTTCTCCGGTCAGGGTCTGATTTACGCGACCAACACTGGACAGTTGAGAATTTTATCTTAATACGTTAATTGTACATATCTAGTGATATATTAAGTTCCAGACTGATTGGATTACTTTTTTCTGCTATTTCGTTATTTAACTTTTGTTTTTTTTTATTATGTATTAAAATTTAAAACCTAACTGTGATTGTTTCTTGAATTTGTATACAAGATTTACATTTATAGTTTTAAGGTTGCTTTATGAAAACAGGGAATTAATATAGATTTACATTTCAGTATGTTGTACTTTGCTACGTTTATTTATAAACTCATTGGCTTCACTTATGATGGTGATCTATTATTGTTATTGTGACTATCCACTCCTTATAAGCGAAAGTGGTTAACAAGTGAATAAAAACAAAGAGCAATGTTTAACTTGTATTATATCTTTGGGACATAGTTTAACAGCTAGTAGTGATCTGTTTCAGTTGTAAACATGGATTGGTATGACAGTTTGGTCTCCCTTCATAAATTCCATGCTGTACTGCAACTAGCAAGAATGTACACATCATCAGTTCTCTGCAGTCCTGATGCACTTCCTCCACTCCAGATCGCTGACACAAAGGTAGGCCTCATATTGTGTGTGTGAGGGTAAAATAGCCACTTCCAGACTAGCTTGGAGCATATGTCTAATGTTTGGGGTCGCAGGTGGGGCCACAACGCCCTCGATACAGCTTGACTGTCTGTGAGGATGTGTATTTTTGTCCCCTTCTTACCCATTTCTAGATTTATGAAGGCACAGAGGTACTTGAAAGAAGGTAGCTTTTTGCCCCAGTGATTCCGAGATTCAGCAGTTTTTTATTTTTGAGTGGACGGGGTTTCAGCCAAGGCTGCTCTACCAACCCAACCCACTATACATTTACAAATATACATGCCCGAACCAGGCACCCTTACTACCACAGTCCAGTTTCAACTTTACTGCGCCACACGGGCAGGCCGGTGATCCCTTTTCCTGTTCTGTTTTTGTTTTGAACCATCTGTGTACCACTGCCTAGAGCCTATCCTAAAGACAACTGGTTTCAAACCCATCAATTATGGCTACTCGGATATTGCAGGACTTCTTACCGTTGAAAACAATTTTTATCTTATTACTTATTTCGAAACACCTTGTATAGACATAAATTACGTTGGTAACACTGCCGATACTTTGAAGTTGGCAATACTGTTAGTCATAAACGGCGTCGTGTTTTGTGTTGTGAGATTAATAGAACTTAAATATTTAAATCAAAAGGCAAATGGGAGCAGTGGTTCACGAAAACGGAACACATGAGACAGATAAAAAGAAAATTCCATTTAGAAAAGTAAGGAAACAGTTCCCAAATCATCCGTTTAACGGCAATCGAGCGCCATCGCTACTAACAATGAGACATCGTATGCCTCCTCCACGTCTTTTGCCGCCACGAATGGGTCCACCGGGAATGCGACCGCCTCCGCCACCGTTTCGAGGTGGACCACCCATGCGGCCTCCGCTACCACCGCCACACATGATTCGCGGTCCCAGAATACACGGACCTCCGCCACCGATGGGTATGAGACCTCCTTTACCGCCGCCGCCCGGCATGCGTCCCCCTCCTATCAGACCACCTCCACACATGCGTCCGCCAATGTTACCGCCGCCGATGATGGGACCGCAGCGACACTTCCGACCGCCCCCGATGCGCCGAATACAGCAAGGCAAAATCATGAAGAAGAAACGGGTCTTTAACGAGATAGATCTTACAAAGCCCTGGGTTAACGAGCAGATGAGAGCCGAGTTCGTCAAGAAGGAGGAACTGCTAAAGGCGGCGAAAGAGACGCGACAGTCGAACGACTGGGCGATATATCGAGGGCAACGCGATCGATGCAACGACATGTACGGCGCCGCCAAGATGGAGTACATCGGACACCATCCCGAGGAGGTGCGTATTCCTCAGCTCGTGCCCCCAGCTATGAATGTGCCTATTTTGACCGCACCTATTGATTATACGGCAGATGTCGTGCTGTAGGTACTCTTTTTTTACTATCAAAAGCATTTGGGGCTTTATATTTATTATAATTATTTTCGATCAAAGTTTTTATCTTAAAATTGGCTGGATCTGTTTGCAGGATGTAAACAAAATCTTGGCAGAGACAAGTAAAAAATTACAGTCACAATAACGGGCAACCTACATTTATAATCATCAAGTCATCGTCTACTTAATGCCTCCAAAAATTTAGAGGGACTTGCACTGTTTTTTTTTAGAAATAATGCTTTTAGTTTGTTCAGTTGGTACAGCCGGTTTTTACAACATTGGCTTTTTGCATATTTCTTTTTGTAAATATGACTATATTCATTGACTAATTATCTGTGTTAGTATAGTCAAACGTAATTGTTTATTCAGTTGTAAAATGCACTGATTGTATTCAGGAACAATTTTCTAAAGTTCTTTAATTTTTTTTGTATTTGTATTAAAAACCTACACAGGGTTTTTTCTCTACAAACAATTGATGAAATGTATATATTAGATGAAACTAAAAATAAATAAATTTCGTAATTAAAGTTAAAAATTTTTTTCTTAGCTTGGCATGTAGTTACTGAACCAACTATCAACTATTATTCTCAGACTATCGCACTTTTGTGTGGTTTTTTTCAAATGTAAAACTGCATGTGTTGAAACACTTAAAAGGTTGATAATTGTGTTTGAAAGAGATTTTCAAAATGGGTATAAGTGTAGGTGATTGTTAATTGTTTTATTGGCTTACCGACTTGAGGCCCATAAGAGATATTACTTTTTTGCAACACTGTAACTTTCATGTACCCATTTTTTTTCAAAATTGCACTTGTCATGTAAAAACACTGGTACTCGTAAGTAATTATGCAAATTAGCAGAATAGGTACATTCTGCGCAATATGAGAGCAGGTAACCATTTAGGAAAGCGTATTCATGGGAAGCAGTTTGGTGCATAATTTCTGCAACAACTTTCCAAATACTAATCAAAGAATCGTAAAAAATGGTCCAATTTGAAGTTAATTAATTTTTTGAATTTTAAAGAAATTTACAGAAAGTTGCTGCTTGCTGAGTCACTGGATCCAGAATTATGTAGTTGTAAAAATTAAAACAATCGCTGAAGTATAATGGTAAATGTCAGGTCCACAAAAACAATTGAATAAAAATATGAGCCGCAATTGTTTTGACCTTCAGACTGTAAAAGGAGTAAATCTATTAAACAATTCGAAAATATTATACGCGTACAACCATAGATATAAATATCAATCGATCTAATGAAATTTTATAAAACCAGGTAATTGAATTAACCACGCGAAGAGGTTGGGAAAGTGGATTTGCCTCTGGTCTTTTCCAATTTCACTGCATGCCCTTTGGGTTGACTAATGCTCCTGGGACGAACTTATTGGGATTTCTGGTATAACTCAAAAAAACTGGCCCCACAGAAAATAAAGCTGAATTTCCAACTTCGGGAAAACTGAGTTTCAAATTGTATTGTAGGTCAAATTGTGCTTGTTACAGAGTGTCCCAAATGAAGTGAGTTTATATGGGTATCGTCGTATTATTGGAGATATCAGTCCCGGTTCTATGCTATTTATGATAACTTATTTTTCTATAATTTGTTACCTGTTCCGGTTTTCTGTATATAATAATTTTCAGCTCCAGTTTCAATATTTTTTCCGGTTCTAGGGGTATATTTATTTTTTACCGTGTTTTTTAGCTTCTGATGCATTTCGCGCATGTTCTTCAACAACCGCTTGCCTGTTTTATAGTACCTTTATTGGCACTACTTGCCCTGCAACAGCATAAACATTTTTTAAATGTCTCATCGTCTAATTAAAGTTTAATTGTAATTGTAGTTTTATTAAGTAAATAGTAAGTAAAACTCTTTCATTGCACACCAGAAATAGTTGAACCATAATTATTTTTTTGTTTAAAGTGATGGATATTTCACTGGGCAAACTTTTGTACATGTACTGTCGAAATTGGCAGTACTTGGTGTACTTCCCCTGTCCTGCCAAAAATATTGTGTACAGCTTGGTACTACTAGGTACTGCTAAGTCTTTCTGATGTACTACCCGGTCCTGTTTGCATATTTTTATGGTCCACGAAGGGATGCCCTGTGTCTATACCTCGTACTTTTCAGGGTAATTCAATATTTTTCACAAAAGTACGTACCCATTAATGAATTACATGTTTATGCACCGGAGTAGGCTGTGATAATAAAAAACAAAAAGATGGGCGAAGGTAAATAGTGTCGGAAATGAATTATTTGCTGCAAGTTCGTAGTATAATAAGAACTACGAGGTTTAGACACAGGTCGTCCCTTATAAAAATTGAAGAGAACACAAAAGTGTGAACAGTGAATAGTGAAATAAAGTAGTAGTTCTATTTAAAAAAATGGCACTATGAAATTCGGAAAATTCACCATTTCATTGTGAACACCCTGTATCACAAAATCCAACTTTTTCATTGTCAAAGTGTTACCCTTTACTAGGATTAACATTACTGTTCAAATTTATTTTTTCAAAACACAAGGTCGCTACGATGTATCAAAGTGAGGGTTGCTTATGGGAAAACAATTAATAAGATGACAACATATAAAATATGCAGGATGTTCTATGTGAAAAAATCAGTTATTTATTTACACCCTAAAAATGGAACACCCTATACATTCAAAAATAATTTCTTCTTTAATAATTTCAACCATCTGACATTTGCACAGAAGGATTTTTTGCCAGGTACATATAAGCTGGGAAAAAGCGACCCACTGTTGTAGGACCTTGTATATGTTATATATGTGTTATATACCAGGTGATTCATTTATCTTAGACGATTTAATAACTTGTTGGGATCACATTTTTTGGTTTGATACAAAAGTTGTTCAATTCTAAGAGGGCCAATCGGTAGGATGGCCTTGATCTGGACCTTGAAGGCGATTTCAACTTCAAAACAGTTTCTTATTTATCAATTGCACATGTACAATTTTAACTCCCATATTATGACCACGTATAAGAGTGCCATTATGTACACGTGTGTAAATGATATAAAAAATTATGAAGGAAATGGGAATGCATGGTCCTCCCAATGTGATATATGGTACTGCTCGGTCCTGCCAGTGTACTACCAGGTCCTGCGTATGTACTGCCTAAAATTTGTATACGTACTACCATTGTATATTTAAGGTGTATATACAATGGTACTACCAGCTTCGGTTTAAAGTGTTTTCAGTTAAGAATTTTCTGATTAGAAGCTTTTCAAAGTGATGCCATCTCATGTTTCATTCTGGCACCCATCGGATATAAGTGCATCGCGCCCCCTGGACATTACCCAATGTACTAATCTTAAGTGGAAGCTATAAATGAATAAACACAGGCACAATAAACCTTTTTTTATGGTTTTGTATGCAGGAGTTTATCGAGATAGTCCAGCCGACATGTAGTTTCAGATAGAAAAAGGTCAAAATTTAATAAAACTTTGGGATGTTGTTTAAGGATGGTTAAACAGTTTTTCAAGTGCCAAAAGAGAAGGGGGGGGGGGAGGGGAAAATGTTTATTTCCCCTTACATCCTACGGCAAAAGAATTTTTATATACTTTTTTGTATGAGGTTTTGTTGAGGTATCACAACCTACACTCTTTGGTATGATTATACTCGAGATTATACTAATATTTTTCAAAATGTTGAAATGACCTATTCTGCGGTCAGCGTTTTTTATAGATTGGTCTTAGTTACTATGGATACAATAAACAAAATTTTCCATGAATCCATGGCCTACTATTTAAAAACCGGAAAAAATAATGTTTTTATTTTTGGTGTATGGCTAAAATTTAAAAAATATAGACTGTGATACATCAATGTACCTATTCATGAAAAATAATACAAAAGATTGACGTGAAAATATACAGGGCGTTGCATTTAAAAAATACCAACTTTAGGTCAAATCTTAGAAACAGTGGTCCAAGAAATTTGTTTGACTACGCCACTACGTAAAAATATCTAAAATAGACAGTTTTTTCTATCTTATGTGGGTAGTAAGATATGATAACGATTAACTTCCCAAAAGTCAAAACTTTTCCTTTCACCCTGTATCTCAGAAACAAACCCGGCCCGTGTGGCGCAGTTCAGTTGAAGTTAGTGCTGTTTGGTGCTCGAATATTGTGAGAAGCACCTTTTGACAACTAAAGAGCACTAATGTAGCACTAACTGTTGACATATTTTTGTCCAATTATTTCATGTGGGCGGGGCCAACTTCACATGGGTCTTCAAATGTGCTTCGGAGGAACTCAAAAAAGCTCTTCTTGAGTTGGATAAGGACAGTATTTCTGTGACTATGGAGGGAACTGAATGGTCATTTATTTCTCCAGCCAGTCCCCACATAAGTGGAAGCTGGAAACGACTTGTTAATACTGTGAAAAGAGGCACTTTGGGCTGTTCTTCATGATACGGTTCCAATGGAGGAAGTACTGAAAACCGTAATGGCGGAAATAAAGCACGAGTGGCAAAGTGGACACAAAATGGATCACCATGTGCATCATTTTGGATCATAGTGTGTCGTGATCAACGTAAGAAACGGCCTTTGGGGAGAGTATTGAAAGCTTTTAGTGAAATATACAGTTGGCCAATTGTGAAATTTGGAAAGTTTGAGCTTCCAGAAAATGTGGAAGCATAGGTACCACCGAAATAAACTATTTTGTGTTTTGAAATGCTTTCAAAAAGCGGGGGGGGGGGGATCTTGTAAAAACTAGTATTGTTATGTCATTTTTATATTGGAGATTATTACCGCTTTAAAGAATTTTCCTGAGCATTCTCTCAGGTGGTCCTTCGAAAGTGTTAAAGTCATTGGACTGCTCCGAACATAAAAAAGACCCTGACTGCCATAAAATGCATTAGCACAGTTTGACTTACATTTTGAGTTGTCTGCGAGATTGTTATTTTTTAAAGGCAATTGTTTTTGATTTATTGATTAAACAGCAAACAAATTCATATCATCTAAAGGCAGCCTGTGCCTGGCTTCCACCCTAGTTTTGGGGATGCTTGCCTCCTAACCACCGCTAAAGTTAAACAGCTGTCTCCACGCACTGTGTGGACTGGATTATTAAAAGAAATGTCACTTTATTTTATATTCAGAGTTTTTACATGGCTGGTGCTGTACCTTTCCCGTGCAGTTCTAAAAAGGTGTACCACTAAAAAAAGTTCGTAAGTATGAGGTACATCCGCTTTTTTATTTTTTAGCTCATAATTTTCACATCAAGACACTGTGGGAAGATCATTGGAGATCTCAAATCACTTTGTTACGTTTGCACTAGAGTTTATGTAAACATTTCCAGAGGGAATGAACTAACACACCTTCCTTAAACCAAAAAGACACTGGTTTATAACCTTTGCCGGGTTCCCCCCCCCCCCCATCGCTTGTGTAACACATCCATGCCTCAGAATTCGTATAACAACATGGTTGCAATTTTAAGGTTGGGAGGATTGCAAGTTGGGATCATTCATACTTTGCTCGAATCTCAATCGTTATAATATCGCAATTGTAACTAGGGTCACCAATTGACCGACGACGACGAGGACGTTTTAAGTAGCGACGAAGACGATGAAACGAGAGTGTGCGGTATAGAGGACTGTACGTACACTGCGCATACGCGAGATGTCGATACTCACATCAAAATGCAACACTGTACAGGCCTCTACGATCGCATTAAAAATGTTAGCACACCCGAAGATATAAACAAATGGATCACCGAGCGTAAAAATCGATTTCCCACAAAGGAAAACATCGAGAAACGCTACAAGATGCAGGAGGAAAGGCTCAAACGGGGCGAGCGTATTAAACATAATCGGCACAGGTTCGATCAAACGAACAAGACAAGACGTATGTACCGAGCCTTCTTGATATTTTACTAACCTTTCCTCTTTCAGTAATCGTGCAAAAACCTGCTCCAAAAGTAAGAAAAGTGAGGAAGCGTCAGACGAATCTACCGGTCACAAACCCATCTCTCATTCAGGACAAATCTGGTTGGAATGGTAATCTGTGTCCGTTTCCGGGCACCCGCAGTTTGTACCAAGAGGCATCCGAGGAGGAAGGTGAAGAATTTGACGATGCGGAATGGGGAGAAGAGGCACCCTCAGAAAATGTTATTCCATTAAACAACGCCCTGGGAAATTTAATAACCGCTTATAATTCAGAATCTGACGATGAAGCTCCTCTAGAGCAAACAATTGAGAGGACGTGTGTCGAATCGGTTTGCTTTTCCGAGTCGAAAATCGTTGTCAGAAATGAGCGCAAACGTAAACGCCATCCGAAAAGGAAGGTGACTAAGAGTAAAAGTCAGAGTGAACGCCCTGTATATAAAAAACGAAGGGTTACTTTATTGGAACGATTGTTGGCAAATGAAATCATTCATGAAAGGAATGTTCTTTTGCAGTGTGTTAGGTACATTGTTACTAATAACTTTTTTGATCCTCCACCGAGTGGCACTGGTGTCGACAGTTGCCATTCAAGTTGAGTTGGTGTGTACCGAAACTACTTCACTGTACTTTGTTTATTTTAATAAAATGTCATAAATTGGAAAATCGTTGACTGTGAAACTGCATTTAAATGTCAGGTAGATTTTTATTCCTTTGGGCACAGTCACGCCATACCTGGACAGTGACAATGCCAAGTTAGACGGGCTTCATCCATAGTACAGTAACGTGCGGAAATTTGCTCCTTCATTTCGAGATGTATCACATTATAACGAAAAATTGTAATTCCGATTAAAAAACAAATTTTGTCTTTTGCATTTTTTATTTAAACGAGGTTCTTAATAATAAAACAGGTTAATTTATGATTTACATAAATTGCCCTTGTTATAGATCATCCGGTATATGAACGGTTAACTATAGAAGTAGTTACAATGTTCTCGAATAGTTCAAATATCACAGATAGACATGACAACGTTGTATACGTCGTCGTCTGTGCACCACATATTTAACTAATTATACTTCATTGCTCTCTTTTTCATTAACTTTGTAGATCGTCTACAGGTAGTTTGGCATAAAAAAATACATGGCAAGTCGGACCTAATTGTCCATACTCTTTGTAAATCTGAACAGAATGAAAGTAAAACTCCTAGCACAGTTCATAATTCTTCTACTATGCCTGGTTGTTTCATGCGAATGGTTCGTGTATTACGTGGTACAACTTCAGGTAAATAAAAGCACGTACGATAAAACACATTGTAAAAGTAAGTTTCTAGTGCGATTGGCCCACTATAAACTCCACTCTATCAGTTCAGCACAATAACGAGAAGGCTTTACGCACGATGGTTTTTGCAGACACGCACTTGTTGGGTTCGCGTAGAGGCCATTGGTTTGATAAACTGAGACGAGAATGGCAAATGTATAGGGCTTTTCAAACGGCGTTAACCTTGCATCGTCCCGACGTTGTGTTTTTGTTAGGTGACATTACAGATGAAGGTGATTATTGCAGTGACGACGAGTTTCGGTACTACGTCAAACGATTCGACAGTCTCTTCGCGACACCGTTCGATGTTAAGATATTCGTCGTCGCCGGTAATCATGATATGGGGTTTCATTATCGGTGCGTGTAATCGAAGTTTCGTCGGTTTTTTATTTGGGTGCTTTCAGAATTACGCCGTATCTTAATAAGCGTTTCATATCTGGGTTTAACGCTTCCGCCGTGCAGTTTGTGACATTGGGAGGCAATCACTTCGTTCTAATCAACAGTATGGCTTTGGAGAGGGACGGCTGCTTTCTGTGTAAATCTGCCGAGCTGCAACTCGCGCAAATTGAAAGTAGGTGAGAGAATAAATTAACCGGGGTGCTAATTTAATGGTTTGATTTTTTTTTTAGAGAAATTGAACTGCCTTAAAAGCGAAGGAAACTGCCAAAGGGATAATTTAACCTACAGCCGACCAATTCTCATGCAGGTTCGCATCCGAGATCTCAGAGGAACGTGCCAATTTCGGTGATTTTAGCACTTTCCGCTTTACAGAGAGACGGACGAGGTTTGTAATGAGCCGGATGAGGCGCCGTTTCCCTTGAAAAGTAAAAAGTATAGGGAAGGATGGGACTGCCTTACAACGGGTTCCACGTATCAGTTACTGAAGCAAATCGATCCTAGAGTCGTGATATCTGGTCATACGCATTACGGTTGCACGAGAAACTTGAGCAATGGTAGAGGGGTCGAATTTACGCTTGCCAGTTTTAGTTGGAGAAATACTAATACTCCCAGCTACGGATTGGTAAGATTGCCAGTGTTGTCTGTTTGAAAGTAATTTTGTTTTCTTTTTAGTTTGTATTTGAAGCGAATAATTACGCTTTTTCAAAGTGCTTAATGCCACGTGAGACAACTGTGATTATGTGTTACATTTTGGGAAGTGTAAGTTTATTGATTTGGCTTGTATATGCAATTTATTGTTCTTATAGAAAACGCAAATTTAAGTACCAATAATTTGTATTTGATGTAATTATAAAAGTGATATGTAGGTACTTGACAGAGATTTTATGACAATATATGTAAAAGTAAACAATAATTACTTCATTTGTATTCTATGTATTTTATTATTAACAAAAGTTTTATGTTGAGGAATACCAGTTTTCTTTTTTGGAGCCGATCTATGTGTCTATACATACTGTTTATGAACTCTATAAAGTGGAAGGTGCAGTCTGGACTGGATGCTGCAGTTGCATTTATTAAATTTCGCATTGTTTTTTTTTGTTGTAAAAGTACATATATACGGATTACAGAGGTACGATCACCGACTGATAATCGGAAGCTGACAGCCACTTAGTTAGGCAACCAACCATACACTATAAAATGGCAATGTACTTGTTATTTTTTATTGCGTTTATATCAAAGCAATGACGAAGAAACGCCGAAGCAAAGACGACAATGGGTTCATTCTTTGGGTCCTGGAAAGTTGGGGGTCTAAATACGATAGGGAAGATGTAGCACTGTTCTGCAAAGGATTAATAAGACGTTGCTCTTCTACTTGGCATTGGGTACTCTTTCGACCACGATTAGGTACTATGAACATTGCACGTAACACTTAAGAGACTTTGGAGAGCGTTATAGTAGTGTGTTTCCAGAGCTACTGAAAATTCAAAGGGCTGTAACTTTTGAACTAGTAGCCCAATCTTGGTAGGTTAATATTAAAATAATCCAAGCAGAATACATTGTGCTGACATCTGTCTTTATTATTGGGGAGTAACATTTTATTCATTACCACCATTATTTTAGTTGGAACCTACACCTCAAAGATGTCGCCACACTAATTTTGTAAAGTACTTTATGAAACTAACGTTAGATGTCAGAGCGTGGTTTTTTAAAATTTTTGAAAACCATAGATATATGAAGTTTTAACCTCAAATGCATAATTAATGTTTGTTTATATTATAGTCAAAAATTAAACTTTGTTATCATTCCTTTCTCGCTTACAGGTTTAAATTAGGGAACTGGCTACTGGGAGTGACAGGAAAGCGGCAGACTCAACCTTTGCGGAATATATATATACTGTTCGCTCTGGATCGTGCAATCGAATACATGTAGTTCTCGATGGATGAGAAACGTTAGCATTGAATTCAGACAACACAAATTGAAAAGGGAAATGCTTTGTAACCAAAACAGGAGGACACCGTGGAGAACTCGCAGAAAACCCATTCTAATGCAATTCAAACTTCTCAAGGTTAAAATCGGAACGATTATATGATTGCAGCAGCTGGCGGTGGTGCGAAGCTATTCTTTAAATAATTGAGCCTGGAGTTTATTTGATAGAACTACAGTTATAGAAACGGTAGTGAAATTGGCAGCGAAATAAGGCAAAAGTGTTACGCAGTTTGCAATCACGAAAAAATGTGTTGTTTGTGCGATCTTCGTGTGAATGTTGTTGTAAAACGGTTCAGTTTAATGTACCTGTTATTGAAATTGTTCTTCCAAGGGCTTTAAATAAACTCCTATGCGTAAGAAGTTACAAATTGCAAAAATAAATATGTTTTCTGTTCATTGAGCATGATGTGTTGCCTACAAATCGGGCTACACAAATATCGAGTGCTCATTTTCAAACTAGGGATTTGCTTGAATCTCGCCAATCTGCCGTTTTTATTGAGGGTAAGGAGGGCCTCCACGAACGAATGGCCCAGGGCCCCGAAAAACTTAAAAACGGCACTGCATTTAAGGAATAATAAGTGCAACGTTGCTATTAATGGCATAAATTAAAATAAAATTTTAAAAGAAGGTGCGTACGTGGGACATCTCAACTAGACTTCTAAAACTATAATTGATAGAAAGTGTATCGATTACATGGAGATGGCGCACTAGTACTTATAGTATTTAATCTATCTATTCAAATTGCTCTACAGATCTTGCAAGACTCTGTACATTTTGAACTGCCATTTATTCAGACTTCTCAATCAAAAGTTATAGACTAGCTACCAATTTCGAAAGAAAATACAAAGTGCTGTAACTTTTGAACTAGTAGCCCAATCTTGGAACTGTTTGAAATTATGGATTCTACAGGCCACATTCTATAAGAAAATTTTTTTCCCGGTCGATCTGAGACAATTTTTTCTTCGGGCCTCAAAAAATGGCAGTGTACAACCTTCCTTTTTTACCAAAAATCGACTACACCAACATTTCTCGGGAAAACACTTTTTCTTACTAATTTTGGTGCGTAGAATCGAAAACAATTCGTGCTTTTTCGATCAGACTTCTCAATCAAAAGTTATAGACTAGAAACCAATCGCACCAAAGACGCTCGAGGAAATGAAATGGGAAGCAGCTAGGAAAGGTCCGGAGACTATCGCCTGTCTAGGAGTTACTGATGGAGCTCTGAAAACAACGCCAACAAATAATACAGAGATGCGTAATGGGTTCCTCTAGACTCTAGCTAGAGGAAAGACAAATAGAAGCTCGTTCAGGAGTTGATGATGATGCCACCAGTTTACTATCTTCGGCACTTTACGTTAAAAATAAAAATGCAGAAGCGTCCCAAGAGCGTCGAGCTCAACTCCTTGTTACGCACTATAGTGAAACTATTTTAAATAGCTCAGAAAACTCAACTGCGTTTTACGCCATTAGCGATATTATTATAATATATCAAATATCAACATTTTCTAATTTATTATTTTCAATAAAGCCTAGGTACTCCCGAGCATTAAAAAGTCTCTCTCATTTATAATCTCCAACCCCACTTTCCTTAGAGATACAAATGAGGTAGCTCTCGGCAAGATCTTACGGTCAAAACTTCAAAGAACATTTGCGCCTCAACGGAATGTCGGAAGAGGGGTCCATCAAAGGAAAGGTGTGAGGCCGGTCAAAACTTCAAGGAACATTTGCGCCTCAACGGAAGGTCGGAAGAGGGGTCCATCAAAGGAAAGGTGTGAGGCGGCGAGGCGGTCTATCAAAGGGACCGGTCAAAACTTCAAAGAACATTTGCGCCTCAACGGAATGTCGGAAGAGGGGTCCATCAAAGGAAAGGTGTGAGGCGGCGAGGCGGTCTATCAAAGGGACCTGTCAAAACTTCAAAGAACATTTGCGCCTCAACGGAATGTCGGAAGAGGGGTCCATCAAAGGAAAGGTGTGAGGCGGCGAGGCGGTCTATCAAAGGGACCTGTCAAAACTTCAAAGAACATTTGCGCCTCAACGGAATGTCGGAAGAGGGGTCCATCAAAGGAAAGGTGTGAGGCGGCGAGGCGGTCTATCAAAGGGACCTGTCAAAACTTCAAAGAACATTTGCGCCTCAACGGAATGTCGGAAGAGGGGTCCATCAAAGGAAAGGTGTGAGGCGGCGAGGCGGTCTATCAAAGGGACCTGTCAAAACTTCAAAGAACATTTGCGCCTCAACGGAATGTCGGAAGAGGGGTCCATCAAAGGAAAGGTGTGAGGCGGCGAGGCGGTCTATCAAAGGGACCTGTCAAAACTTCAAAGAACATTTGCGCCTCAACGGAATGTCGGAAGAGGGGTCCATCAAAGGAAAGGTGTGAGGCGGCGAGGCGGTCTATCAAAGGGACCTGTCAAAACTTCAAAGAACATTTGCGCCTCAACGGAATGTCGGAAGAGGGGTCCATCAAAGGAAAGGTGTGAGGCGGCGAGGCGGTCTATCAAAGGGACCTGTCAAAACTTCAAAGAACATTTGCGCCTCAACGGAATGTCGGAAGAGGGGTCCATCAAAGGAAAGGTGTGAGGCGGCGAGGCGGTCTATCAAAGGGACCTGTCGAAAACTTCAAAGAACATTTGCGCCTCAACGGAATGTCGGAAGAGGGGTCCATCAAAGGAAAGG